TATTTACATAATAAATAATCAGTGGTGGCCTAGTGGTTAAAGGCCCGCCTCTCATGCACGAGGGCGCGGGTTCATTGCTGGCAAATACCAATGTGATTTTTCCGAGTAATATGTACTTTTTGAGAGTATTTAGACACCACTGACAGACGGTGAAGGAAAAAATCGTGAGGAAACCTAGACTTATAATTTCATAATTATAAGTTTCAACTTTCAACAACAGCATTCCCAAAGAGTATTGTAGTCAGGCAGGCAGCTGGTCGTAAAAACAATAAGCCAAAACTATTAACAACATGTAAGGCAGACCCTGGCTGAAGCTGGGAAATTGCCAGGAAGGTGAAGAAGGGACCTATTAACCTAGGGATTGAAAATTATATACCAAAACCTATAAAGTACAGAACAAAACATCCTTTACGATATGTGTAGGCTGTAGGTAACAATTAAATATCAACCATAATGTAGCAAGTATTCCATCTTCATTCACGTTTGTGATTTAGATATCACGATCAGATTTGTCGTTAAATGTGACGAACTTGGCATTATAAATGAGTGGATCTATTGTATATGTCACCTAGACTATTTCTTTAGTATGTAATCTTCTATATCATCTATACTAATATTATAAAGCTGAAGAGTTTGTTTGTTTGTTTGTTTGTTTGAAAGCGCTAATCTCCGAAACTACTGGTTCGAATTGAATAATTCTTTTTGTGTTGGATAGTCCAGTTATCGAGGAAGGCTGTAGGCTATATAAAATCACGCTACGACCAATAGGAGCAAAGATATAGTGGTAAATGTGTAAAAAACGGGAGAAGTTATTTCATCTTTGAAGCCTTCCGTTGCGTGCGCCGTGAAAACGGTTCAAGATACACAAAAAATATGTATTAAAGAATAATAGCTCTTTTAATGATCTAAAAAACAGTCCGCGACAGTATATGTCTATCTTTTAAGATTAACTCACAAAAACCGTTTTTATGGTACCTAATTTGGTCGAAATAATTTGTTAAAGTTGTATCAATATAATAATATTAATCTTTATTCAAATAAACAAATAAATATGTTGTTGGTTAAGAGAACTTCATTGTAAATTTAAAAAAAACATAGGTTTTATCCTGAAAAGTCTACGGGAACTCGACCATTCCGAAAACCCCGCAAGAACGGTAACTATGTGGGAAGAACCAAAAATCTGCCGGAAGTCACTATTCCACGCGGACGTAGTCGCGGCAAAAGCTAGTCTATATATATAAAAATGGATTGCTGTTCCTTAGTCTCGCTAAAAATCGAGAAAAGCTGAACGGTTTTATCTTATCTTAGTCTTGAAATGTTCGTGGAGGTTCAGGGAAGGTATAAAAGCTGAAAAAAATTGATTCGTTACTGTGAAAACCATAAAAACAGCCCTTTTCTATGTCCCATACAAAAGTTTTTTTTGACATTAGATTTGACAACTAACTAATATGTCAATCATTCTGTCGCACTTCAAAACACGGAGATTTATGGCTTACAGGTAAATTCCAAAAATATAAATAAAAAAAAGTAATAGATATTTCTTAATTATAGGGCGATACGAAGTTCGCCAGGTCTTCTATTAATATATAAATAAACTTATGTACGAGATAGTATTGAAATACATATCTAAGTATGTACTCGTATATATACATCTCGTCTGGCCCTGATCACGGTTGCTGTAAATTAACCGAAACGTCGGGAGTATGTAGTTTATAGTCATAAATAAAAATCGTGTAGTAACTCCGAAAATATTAGTTTCATTTAAATGAGCACTCGCGAAAATCTTAGATCTCATTATGTATATATGTATCTAAAGATATTAATATGTAATGGTTAAAATAATACATAAAATGTGTATACAGGGTGACTGGTGAATTACTATCGATACTTGAGGACGTGATATTTGACGATCATATATGACCAAATAAAAATTAATATAACATAAATTTTAATAAACTTCTCAGTAAAGTTAAACAAAAGTTATGTAATTAATTACGCATCGTGTGAACACCCTAATTCACCAGTCACCCTGTATAACTTAAATTCTTATAGTATTAATGGATTGGTATGTCCAACGTTATATATCCTATGATGTGTTTTTAAACCCCATATAATCCACACCATAGGACATAGGTAAGTCATTGTACTTGTATGGTGTCACCTGACATGGCCCAACACATGGTGTGATAGCATCGTGTCGCTCTGTTTGTAATCGTAAAAAGCGTGACAATGTCTTTGTTTAAATATAAAAAATGTACAACAAAGCAAGCTCTAATATGTAATAAAAATAATACAGACACCATATTTTTATTATATAATTATTATATGCGATCTCTATGTAGGTGGAAGAAAAGCGTAGTGTACATACTAATGAGATACTTTAATTTAAGCATTTAATGAATGCACATTAACTATATAATAAAATTTAATTAATTTGTTCATAGCTTTTTTATATCATTAAAAAATATTTTTCTGATAACTCTAAAATTTGATTTATTTTAAAAATAAGTTAAACACAAATATTTGACAAATTAACTATTAAGTACATTGAAATGTTTCGAACTGCTAAACTTAGGCTTTACGTACATACTTGTTATTAAGTTGTGTTTCCAAAAATTACTTTATTCATTTTGATTCCAATACAAAGATCGAAGTATTCTAGTCCATTATTGGAATAAAATACAATCGTATCTCATGTTCAGACGAATATAATATATAAATAGTATGTATTGTAGTATGTACAGACAGGATTCTATAGTAAATGGGATGAGATATCCCGGTACTTGTAGATTTAAATACATCTCTTGTATATATGTCTTATATTTTCATGTCTATATTTATATGAATTATAAGCCACTGCTTATAAAATAACTCCTAAATTGAAGTCGAATGGAATTTAACAAATATATTGAGGTCTAAGATTCGCGAGTCTTATTCATTTAAATGAAACTAATATTTTTCTGATATACTACGAGATTTTGTTTTGAATAAAAAACAACATACTCCCGACGTTTCGGCTACTTTAGAGCAAATGTGATCACGGACCGACGAGATGAATGAGACATAGTACATCCGAAAAATATTAGTTTCATTTAAATTTAACAAAATTATTTATTGAGAACATAACGAAATAAATCCATTTATTTTATAGCGCCTAGTTGTATATTTATTAAGGTAAAGCATTCCAGAAGCTTCTATAATGAGTTCAGTTTAAAAATAGAAGAAATTATGTAAAATACGTTAAAATGTTAGTGACGTCATTACGATCAGTATTCTATGGAGGTGTTCCATTGTCTCGGCGGAAGTCGTATGAAACAACATGGCAAATACAAACGGGCATTAATGTGTCCACAGGTGACGCTTTATAATAGTTTGTGTTAATAATGTTATTTTTACCTAAAACATACATATTACATTAAATCTTTGACATCCGTCTGTCACTGAGAAGTTTAAAAATGTAGTAGAACCTAGAAATATGAACTATAGATTAAAAACTAATCTGATATCAATATATTCATGTTTTTAACCTAAGTATATTTTAAATATAGATTCACTGTCTGAATAAACAATTATAAGAAAATGAACCTAAACATATTTTTTACATCGATTCAATGTACTTGTTTCAATATAATATATGAAAATATTTATTTTAATTAATACAATACAAAGAAGTCCGTATAACTTTAAAAACTATGCACAGATAAGAAAAAAACGTAATAGTAGGTTGTGTTTATAATCTGTGTAAATAACTTAAAACTCGTTGACCCCAGTCTACACTGACTCATCACATACTTTCAAAAGCGTCCTTATTTTATCCTTTGATTTCGCTACATCTTACGCTTTGAGTTTGTTTTTTCATCAAAATATCTTAATGGGAACTTGGATCGACTTGTAAAAAGTACGAATACGAAAAATATCCTTTTCTTTATAACTTATTAGTTCTTACTATTTTATGTTCACAAGTGTCAAGTTTAAGTTCGTAAACCTTTTAGTTATTCTATGGAAGTTTCTCGAAATATGCGAAGGTCAGTTTATTTTAATTCAGTATATGACCATTTAATATTCATGAGAGGTTGAACCACTAACGTCGAATAAAATGATTATAATTTTATATAAATATGTAATAAATTAATAATTCGTTGAAAAAAAAGTGATTCTAAAATGAAAAATATCATATATAATATCTTTTCTCTTTATGTCGAGTTAAATATAAATAAAGGTCTTTAGAATCTGAATATACAAAAATGTTAAGTTTTGAATCTCATTTCAAAATCAAAACGAACACAATTGATAATAAACTAAGTACTAATCGTTATAATAATACGTAATTCCGATGCACGAACTCGTCCAAGTATATTTGATATATCATGCCCTTGCACTTCACGCATCGCTTCCTGCCTTTTCACAATTCCCATTGATGTCGTCACGAACAACTAGCCCGTTTTTGGACCCTCATTAGAACAAAATCATTATACAATAATATATTTTTAACTATCGTAGCCTAATAGCGTGTACGTGATAATCCAGTTCCGATATTGTACTATCTGTAAAACTTGTTTTAGGCGATACCTTAATATAAGTACTCGCGTGTGTACAGTTCGTGAAACCAAAAACCTAACGTTTTAAGGTTTCATTCATATTAGTTATCAAATGAACGTAATACGTAAAACGAAATATTGGAATTAATTCTTGACAAACGAAGACTTACTAAGAAGTAAACATATAATCCTTCTCTATATGTTTAATTAATTTTCATTAGTAATTTAAATATAGGTAACAGAAACAAGTTTAAAACAATATTATTTAACTTTATACAACACTATCGCGATACATAAAAGTGCTATTACATTAAAGCGGGGCCGATTCATATCGGTATAAAACGGATGTACGCAACGGAGGTCTGGGTGTTGTTGAACTTGTGATTGTATGAAATACGACACAGAAATATTATATATTTATTTTATTATAGTTTAATAGTTGTTTTAATGTAACGTTTCCAGGGTGAACACGGTAGAGGTATAACATTCACGAGCACAGAAGAGCCACAGAATAAGGCGAATAGTTTGCCGGCCATTCGTCTTGTGGACGGACCCTCTATACTAGCCGGAAGAATTCAACTGTTACATAGGGGACAGTGGAGATCAGTATGCACCAACTCGAGGAAGTAAGTGCACTACAATCTGCGTATTTACTTCAAGACGTCTATATCAATTATTATTAAACAGTACAACTGCCTTCTATTTGGGCGAACAATCTTAGTTACTAAAAATGAATACAAACATTAAATGTAGTCGGAAAAATAATTTAACCGTTGTCATGACCTAACTAACCGAAGCATAACATTAATTTAATTTGCTAAATAACCACAATTTTATTACAGTTGGACCATCAACGACATGGAAACGGCTTGCAGGCAATTAGGGTTCATGGGCGGAACGTTTTACAATTGGATGGATCGACAACCGGGACGACGAGCGAGGCTCTTACTGGAAGAACCCAAGTGTAAAGGAACAGAATACGATCTGTTTCAATGTGATTGGAACTCACGACAACTGGGTTCAGGAGTGTGCGACTATCATCCTGACCTTGGAATACAATGTGAGCCGCATCATGACGATAACGAACTAAAGAATTCAGGTGTCCATTGGAGAGGACTGAGATTCGAAAACGCTGTGTACGAAAGAATACTAACAGCTGAGAACACGCTTTACGTACCCACGTCAATGTCCAGGCTGGTTCATATAACGATCAGAAACGCGGGCCTCGGGAGAGATAATAACGCAACGAGTGCTTTAGACATAATAGGTGTCCCGCCTGTGATGGAAGACATCGCAGTTTCCAACTCCGCCTTCAACGCTATCAATGTGACATCACCGAACGCTCCAATACATATAAACAACTGCACGATACAGAACAATAGAGGTTACGGTGTTTATGTTAATTCGACCTATGGCATGACAAAGATAGAGAACTGCCTGATCAACGACAATGGTGGTGACGGGATCAAATACGTCGTGCATGAACTGAATATTGATGAGAGATTCGACCGCAGCGAAGTTTTCGATCTATGTACGCTCGCCTCCACACCTAGTCAAACATTCCCAATACAGATGTCCATAGAACAATCGAGATACTCCAATATGGAAAGGGATTGCAATCAAAAGTTCTACACGAGACCCGACCACGTTCTTACTCTAAGCTTTTTAAAAATGTTAACGAACCGTAATGACACTGGAGAGATTTTCGTCTACGATGGCCTAACTGCTAGCGATAAACTATTACTAAGGTTCAGCATCAGAAATCACACTCGACCACAAAGTGTTACGTCAACGAGGAACCGAATGTACGTCAGATTCCGTGCTGATACTAGAACAGATATCGTTGGATTCTTGAGATTAACATCAGGGAACAGTAAAACTTACGACTTGAACGTGACAGACACGCTTATATCTGATAACAATGGTAGGGGAGTTGTTATTGAAAATTTGAGGTCCCAGATTCACATCCATAGAACTTCGATATCTAATAATAACCACGTGGCTGGTCTTCAAGTAACAAGCGGTGCTGGCGATGTAAATGTTACTGAGAGTCGAATATCTTTCAATCAAGGTGACGGTGTCAACATAACAGTTACTGGCGGTAATAGGAATATATCCAGAAGTATTATAAGCTCCAACCAGGGTTACGGCGTCGCTGTTTGGCTCAACAACACCCAAGAAACTAAATATGTTTACGTAAACCAAACAACAGTGATCGAATACTCTGAGATATTTAAAAATCTTGATATCGGCATTTTACATGGGAATTTTTGTGGTGATAGCTGGTTAAATGTAACCGGGAACTGGTTTAACTCGAGCGTTGAAAGCACTATAGACGTAGGAACTTGCTGGAAGCTCAATAATCCCGTTAAATTGCTGAATTTACAAATAGGTCATAATAGATTTTATCAAAATCGACGAGTTCCAATAAAAATTCAGCCCGCACTAAATATTCTCGGAAATATTGAATACAACTTCTTCGAACATGGAGATTACGGAGCGATTGCAATCCTTAATAGAATAGAAGGGAAATATTTGGAGGACTTTGAAATATTACCCGCAAGATTTTCAATACAACATAACCACTTCTACGGCAATAGCGGACCTTTCGTAGTCAATCTGGGGCTGTCCTCTTACAGTGATCTTCATTATATTTTGTTTTCAAGGAACTATTTACGAGAAAATAAGATAAGAGAACCATTCGATCTTCCCGAAGGTCTATCTTCAAAACTCACGCCACGGAGTAGAGTTGCCGCTACAATAGTTCTAACATCTAGTAATGTAGATGTGTTTAGAAATATAATAAACAATCCAGAAGCACAGTACGAAATAGGATCACACGTCGAAGATCAAAGTAAAATACTTAATTGTACATATAACTGGCTCGGATATGGAGATGAAGAGAAAGTCAACAATAGACTGTTCCACAGAAAAGATAGATATAATTTAGCTAAAATTATTTATATGCCGTATCTTTTGCACAGCAGTAATCCTGGTGCTACACAAGTTAATTACAATTCTCTATATGTTCCACAATTCAATGTACCCGGTTCGTCTGTAGTCGGTGGTGAAGTAGAAGGCATTGAAATATTAAGACAAGGTGAATACGATGTGGACAAAGACATAAACATCCGGCCGGGTGGTAAACTAATATTACAATCAGGAGTTACATTAAAATTTCCCCCCTCTATTGGCATAATGGTTGCTGGCAAGTTAGACGCGAGGGGCAAACGACCAAACGATATTACCTTCACCTTAAAAGAAGAAGTCGCTATGTCAAACGATAGTATTTACGAGACTGATACAGATGTAGAAATAACTACGCCAGGTTATCAAGAGCCTGTAGTACCTATCAGACTACTAGGCGGTAGAACGCCTTATGAAGGAAGATTGCAAGTTAGAATAGACAGCAAATGGGGCACGATTTGTAACTACAAATGGAATATTGTGAACGCTGCATTAGTGTGTAATCAGCTTGGTCTCGCTCTAAACCCTGATGACTGGTATTTAGAACCAAACGAAATACCAAATGCGGGCACGGCTGAGGATATTATACTATCTAATGTAGAATGTACGGAATTTGACAATGATATAACAAAGTGTAAGGCTGAGACTATTGAAAGTTTCGAAAATTCTTGCACGCATGATAACGATGTCGGTATAAGGTGTTACGAATCAAGTTGGGCTGGAGTCAGATTTAGTGTTATTGCTGAAAGAGCGGATTTACAATACGTAACAATAGAAAAAGCGGGTCTTCTTGATTACTCGTCTAATTTATTTAAGCCTGCCTTGCAAATCGATTTTGCTCGACACAGTCTCGAGAGCGTCAAAGTCATTAATAACTATCATGATGGCTTAGGCATTTTGTACTCCGATCTATATGGTGCTGATGCGATAAACACCGTTCGTAATTCTGAATTCAGCAATAATAGAGGCAGTGGAATTAGTTTCAAGCAATTAGGTTTAAAAGTTTACAGTTCAGTAATAGAAAATAACAATTTGGCTGGAATCTCCCACAATCCTCATATAACAGGACCACAGCAGAGAGAAATTGCTGGGTGGTTTCATTTGGATCCCGGCTTCAATATGGATGAATCAAACTATCATCCAATTATGGTGCCTCAGTACGAAACTGACATTTCTTTGGTGAATGGAGAAACCAGACATATAGTTTTCACTAAACAATTATCAGAAAATATCGTAAAAACCTATAACATCAAATGTAACCCGGGATATGTTCTTGGCTTGCAGCTTTTAAATCCCATACACAACTTCTCAAGTGAGAGCATCTGTATATACGACTCGCAAAACATTAATGAAGCCAGTACTCGATGGTGCCTAGATCGTGATTTGTCTTCATTTCCAACAACAAGTAATACATTTGGAGTCGTGTTAAAATATGAGAGCGGTATGAATGCTTTAGGAGGCGTTGTTCTTGTTGTGAGTACTATTATAGCACCGGTGCAAAATATAAGAAACAAAATAATCAAAGGGCCAGTACCCACCCTCCAAGTTTACAACTCTAAAATTAAGGGAAACACAAAGGGTGTAAAAGCTTTATATTATAATAGATATTTGAATGAACTTGGCGATCATTTCTTGAGGAAAGCTAATGAAACCATTAAATTAATTAATTGTGAAATCGCCCATAATAAGGAGGAAGCTGTATACATCAATACACCATTTTGGGACATACATGAGAGCAATGTCACAGAAATTACAATTATGGTTAATAACAGTTTAATAACGGATAATGGTAAAGGAATATATCATTTCGCGAGAGATCTTAGGAGCTCCAATAATTTATATCACTATGTCATGCAAGATAATACAATAGAAAGAAATAAGTATGGAGGATTTGATGTGTCTTTGCCTTATGTATGGCAATACAATGAGAACTTTACACACTCCATCTATATGAACAACAATACTTGGCGTAATAATCAACAATTCGGTTTTACTATTGATGGACATTTCGCTGAAGTTAATATCACGAAAAATGTATTTACTGAAAATTATTGTAAAGTTGGTCTAATATCGCTGAGAGGAATGGAGAAAAAGATGAGAATTGATGGTAACGTAATAGAAAGAAACAATGGTCAGTACATGATACAGTTTTATATGGACAGTCAAAGTGAAATCATGGGCTTCGTTTACGCAGTATTTGTATTCAATCAAGTTAAAAACAATAGGTTTGTATCGCAAATTAATCGTGGAGCCCTCATTATAAACGCGGATCCCACTTACGTTATAGGATTTAAAGGAGTTCAGAAAGTAAAAGTTAGCAGAAATCTCTTTGGTAGCAATGACTTACAATACACGTTACTTGCGGGTATAAGAACAGCTAAAATCAACAATTTACTTGATGTCACTGAGAACTGGTGGGGCAGTGCCGATGAAAAGGAAATCAGAAAACAAATATTTGATTTCGACGATTGGAACAATCACGCAGTAGCAACATATTTGCCTTATTTACTTACAGATAGCTTCGATTCAAGTGGTTCTGTTACATTCAGTACTGAAAGGGCTATTGATCTAAATGATCTCGGGGGAAGAGTGACTTCAGATCTTACGTTACCTGCTCGCATACAGCCATACTTTATAAATGTAGATATAACAGTCATGCCTGAAGTGACACTTACTATAAGCCCTGGCGTGGTGTTAGAATTCGCCCCTAATGTTGGAATATTAGTATTAGGAACACTTCGAGCCATCGGCCACAGTCAATTACCAATCCTTATGAAACCAATGTCATCCTCATCTAAAGTAGAAACAAATAGAATCGAAAGAGACGTAAGCCAATATTATACAAGCCACCATAAAAATAAGAGACAATTGGAAATGTTAACAATCACAGAATCAATTAGATTGTGCACTGGACGCAATTGTTCCACGAGTGATAACAATCATAAAACAAACAACGAGGGATTCTTAGAATATTATAATAGGACAACATTACAATGGGTTCCGATGTGCGATAACAGATTCACTGAGAGAAACGCCCAAGTGGTTTGTCGTGAATTGGGCTTCGATCCAATAAACGTATTCTTCGCACACGACTATCGAGTAGAGTATCACAGTAATTCCCTTTCACGAATATGGTCATGGCCGGAGCCGCTACAATGTGTGGGAACAGAAGATCGTTACGAAGATTGTCCAATTCGTCTGAACGGTCAACTGTATGGACACAGACATGAATGCAAATGGAACTCGCAATTCGTGTTTATTCATTGCGGCTCCAGAAACTTAAATGAAAACCTAGAATATTGGGGAGGCATAAGATTTACAAATCCAGAATTTGAATATTCGCTGTATGAACATAGGATACACGATCATCACACTCACGAGACGTTGAAGAAGGTCGAAAGTGTTTTGCAACATGTACAAATCATTGGAGCGGGAATATTACATAATGAAAAATCACCGGCACTACAAAGTATTGTTAAAAATCCAGTCATTGAAAACGTTAACATAAGTAAATGCGCACATCATGGGATTAATGTAATATCGCCAACTAATACGATTAATATGATGTTTAATTCTATCAGCGATACCTTAGGAGAAGGTATCAGCGCCATATCATTGAGTGGGGAAGGTCGAGACTCGGAAGAATCTAGTTTCACACCTTTGAAAGATTTAAATCTACCGTACCACCTATTTTCTCTTATAGATATATGTGACAGTACGAAGGTAGTAACCGTCGAAGAAAGGGTGCTCTTATACTATAAATACGATAATAATCCAGTAAATTGTGTGAAGATTTTCAAAAGTATGTATAGAGTAAAACCGTTTGGATTCAGGCTGCTGCAATTTAATTTATTTAACCACACTCTCAACTACGGAAAACGGGATTCTTTGACACTTTACGATGGAGACATTTACAACATAACAGCTCCCCAAATAGCATACCTTGAGAATGGATCGCCAGATGAAAAGAAACTGTTCAAAACAGAAGGTTCCAGTTTGAGTGTTAAGTTGTTTGCTAACGGTGCTTCATCTGTTCATGGATTTATTGCAGAAATCGTAACTCTGCCTATTTCTGCCATTGGATTAAGTAAGTTTTCTCATGCCAACAGTTTTATGACTTAAATTATATAAAGATGATTACAATAAACCGTTTTTATTTCAGGTCGCGACGTCCAACATAACATATCGAACAGTGAATTAATCAACAATCGTGATGGGGCCATTACTTACCAATCTGTAGGAGAAGTGAATCCTTTAGTGGCTATAACCAGGAATGACATTACCCAAAACTGTCTCAAGCTTTACGGAAACTTCACAACGTGTCAGGCAGCCGTGACGGTTGACGTTCAGAATACGCAGACATTAGTGTTCAGGGTAAGTTAGTAATTAAACCATAAACACTACAAAAAACCGTTCATTTAAGTGTAATTTTAAAAGCCCTTAAACCTACACCTGGATCGCAAGTCCCAGGCACTGTTGAAGCTCCTACCAGCAACGCGATAGACCCGGCACCCGCATGGTGAATACATCGAATGCTGAGAACTTTCGTCGTTTGTCGAATATCGAGGAACTGTTGAATTAAATAACTAATATCCTTTCCTAAAATAAAAAATAATTTACTCTTAATGACAATGCATTATTTTTGCAGCGATTTCAGCTCTCATGTTTCCTCAGTTAGAACCTAATATAATTCTTTTTGGGACCACTTTAAGACCTACTAATAATAATATCCTTTATTTCAGAACAATTTAATTCGTAATAACGTCGGTGGTCTCCTTGTGATAGCTGATTCCCGCGGGTCAGCGACCTCGCTCCGCGGCTGGATACATAATAATTTGTTTCTAGCTAACCACGACAGACCTGCGCTACAAGTTGAAGGTACATTCACAAATATTTATGACGTAATAAATCAACTTTAATATATGGTTAAGAAAAGCTTCATGTAAATCGCTTCGTTTTTTTATATACAAGATTCATTTAAATAGAAAATCAGATTTTAAGATTTTTTTAAGAATGACGTGAATTTTTATAAATATTAGAATCATAAATCAGTAAGTGTAAAATGATGTAAAACTATATACGACTATAGCATGGTGATTAATGCTCAAACCTTCTCCATGTGAGAAGAGGCCTTTGCTCAGAAATGGGCTCTGATAGGCTGATGACGATGACGTTGAAAAACGACTAGCAAAGAAAGCCCATAAAAACTTTAAAGTCATTAAAAATGGTCTATGTTAACCCAATATTCAGGGGCCATCTGAAAATCAGTGCTGTGCATTAGCACAGCTTATACTGAGATGAACCCCTTGCTCCTACACTGTGTTCTTTAAATTTCATTATTTTCTTCTGTATAATCTATGTAATGTTTGTGTGTAGCTAATAAATGGTTAAAAATTACCCAAAATAAATGATGATGATGATGATATTCCAGGTCGCCAGTCATCACCCTACCAAGAAGTGACCATCTATCGCAACTACTTCACTCAGAACCTAGCAGTGTACCGCGACGTGATCGTTCTACATCAAGTAGTGTCCAATTTCAGCCACAATTACGTACATCACAACACTGGTCTCAGAATACTTCACGTGTCTGGCTTCCACAAGGTCCGCCTGCCTATATACCAGACAACGTCGCACAACGGATTCTACAAGTACGATATACACATATATAGAAATGTATATTACTTTAATACTTCGAAAAAAAGATCAGCTATGAGATTGTACTTAAAGATGAAGTTAGAATTTTTTCCATTACTATTACCACAATAACAAAGAAAAATAAATCTAGATCCAAATATATAGGTAAAGGAAAAAATAAAGGTGTAAAAAGAACGTCACTAATGTTATATTGTTTTTGCCTTTTGGAGGTTCAATTAAGTATAATAATAAGTACGAAATATAATTGTATTGAGATGTCAATGTAATTGTGAGTTAACGACGATGAATTCCAGTGCACGGAAAAACCAATATTGGTTTATGAGACACTGAGAACTTAGATATAAATGTAAAAAATACCAACATAATTGTAATAAATAAATAGATCATAATAATTGATACGTTAGGAATTTAACAATTTAACGCGACATCAAAAAGAACGAGTTTGAATAAAGATTCCAATTTCAAATAACGCTTGTGACTTCGAACAGGAATTTAAACTTAATGTAAAAAAATATTTTAAATAAAGATTTTGATTTCGATTTCACATCGTATGTACATAATTTATTTTATTTGTGCTATGCACTATAATTATTTTTATAATTTCTCATAAAGGTCATATTTGTTTATATTACAGGAACTTCGCGTTAGACCGCGAGGGCCGCGCCACCGTAGTAGCGGGGACTGCTGGCCAGCACTATGTAGACAATGTGTTTTTCAATCCCGACAACGACTACGAAATGATCACTGTTAACAGATCAATGTGAGACATCAAATATATATACATACTAGCTGCGCCCCGCGGTGTTACCCGCATTTCCGGGATGTAAAGTAGCCTATGTGCTATTCCTGAACGTCAACTTCCTGTATATCAAATTTTATCAAAATCGGTTCAGCCGTTTGAGCGTGAAGAAGTAACAAACATACACATACACTCACAAACTTTCGCAATTATAATATTAGAAGAATATATAAGATTTGGATGACATAATCAATGAAAATATGAATGGTTTCTCTGTAAGAAAAGATTTTAATGTTAGTTTTTCTACCAAGGCTATCTATATTAGGCTTAGTTCATAATAAAAGTTTACAAGACTAACCTGTAAGAAATGAAAAGACATTTAAAGCTTTTTACAATGGCGATTCCAAAATTTTACAAGTTCTCTAATTGGCAAAAATCCTTATTATCCTTAATCATAATTTAAAATATATTTATTTATAAATATAATAAATTTTATATACTCTTTTGTGTTATTTTAGAACTATAAGGCTTAAATGTATTTTTAGACTTTCAATGTGTGTTATAAAATGTTTTATTTAATTAAGTATTTATTATAAAATGCATGTTTTTGTTGCATGGCCGGAACATAGCTTTGTTGACTATAACCCGAATATCATAAGGTGAGCTCAACTATATATTAAAATAATATTATATACTTATATTTAGAAGGTTGTATGTAAAACATTATTAATACATAGTTACACATAACAATAAGGAAATTTTTCACATAACAACTTTTTTCTAATCTCCAATATTTTATTATCATCTTCGCATAAATGATCCAATGTTTACAAGTTCAGGACAAAGTATGTTTTATGCTTTAAAAAACTGATTTACATTATTGTGAGTGGTCTAATTATTATAGACGAATGCGCAAAACATTAAACGCCATCAAATCACGACCCGCCCGCTTTCAAAAACAATGAAGAAAGTAAAAAAAAAAAAAAACCGAGACAACCGACAGCAGCAGAAGATCAGATCACAGTATAACTTTTTTCTTATGTGGCAAACAAGGCCATCGAGCAAGATTATTGTGTAATCAAAATGCGATAGTACCCCGTACTGAACACACAGCCAGTCGATTCCAAACGTTCGAATGCAACAAGAACAGAGAGAAAAGGAGTAGAGTAAAGTAGTAAGGAAAAATGCACTTACGCTCATTCCTGGGACACACACTTATGAAACTGTTTTTTTTTTAACTGACTCAACGCTGAAAAGAAACATAAATTTCTGCCAAGTCCAACAAAACAATGCCAATAGAAATATATGGTGATATGTATTATTATAAACATTTTCAAGCACTGTTTGATAGCGGAAGCGGGACTTTTTTATTGTAAGGGAATCAATAGCTCGTTTCATTTCCCCCTGGTTCAAAATTATACCTGAAGGGTATCATAGTCCCCCGTATTATTTTATTAAAACATCCGGTCTGTTACATAAATATTATGCATCTGGATACCTATCATTATCTGTCCCTAACACGAGCTACCCGCGGATATTCTATTGGAAAGAGACATTTTGAAGTTACCCCGGGGGCGCTCTGAAAGTTTACAAATGTCATAGTGGACGTTACGTTATGACGAGAGGGACGAAAAACACAAACTAAAAAACAGAAATATATGGGATATATGAGTTCGATAGATACAGATTTGAAGAATAAAAGATGAAATAGACAGAAAATTGATGACTGTGCTTAGGAAAAAATATGAAGATTATTTTAGAGAGGCAGGGTGTATCTGGATCTAGAAATCATCAACAGGAGAAAATTGACTATCCGGAGGAGACGGAAAAACCCTGATAAAAGTAGTTCCCCCCCCCCCCCCCGGCGGCCATTTAGATTTGGCGCCTGTTTCGAACGAGAAAAGGTAAGACTATGATTAAGGGAGCATTCGAAGATAAAAAATATTATTCGGAGGAAGGCAACACTAAAGCAACTCGCGGCCTTTTTTGCAAAGCCCTAGTAAATAATGGTGAAAAAAGAAGAAAACGGAGCAAGACCGACTATGTGTGGGACTACAGAGACGCTAGAAACTAAACACAAACACTGTGCGAACGGAGATCACTACCCGACTACCCATACCACACTAATTCTCGGAAACCACTAGATCACAAAAAACAAACTCGCCGAATTCGAAATATTTTTACTCTTGTCCTCGATATGGCCGCGGGGGTTCCATCAGGTGCCAATATCCAGCAAACCATCAATAGAGATAAAACGGCTTCTCGATCACTCCCGACGCTGGGTCGTATGAATAAAATCTCACACACGGGCGATGCCTATTTCAACAATATTTGGAGGGCTCCTAACGAATGCTCCATCAGGTCTAATCCCCAAAAGGGGCTATACAACAGGCATTTTGGGAAAGATCTTGCGGAGGAGAGGCAAGAATAGGCTCTCGTTTTATTTTTAATGGACGATTTCTTTCTTATACCCAAGTAAAACTACTGATCTGAGGGAATTACCAATTTGGGAAAAACAAGTTCTAGAACCCGAAGTCACGAAATGTGGATTTTCCATTAATATCAAGAAAGTGCTTGTTTTCTGAAAGTTCGGTTGAATCACTCGGATTTATAGTAAAGTGATGAAAGTGAGGCCCGCAGCACTATCCCAAGGTTGAAGTCTTGGCAAGAGGTACCGACAAATGTAAAGCAAGTTGAGACAGTTTAACGGTTTGGGGGGACGGATATTTTCGAAGAGTTATATGTAACTCTCTTTTCAACTGTAATGATACCCTTGTACAATGAGATAAAAATAGATCAAATGGAGTTGACAGAGAACATGAACCATACGAGAGAAGAATAATTAATTACCGGTAACTCATCAGCACGACGCTACTGACAATTATTCCAGGAAAACTATCTCCCTATCCTAATCGAGGGCTACCCACACGGAGGACGCCAGTGCCATGGGATTTTTGTGAGCTGTGTTGATTCAAGTGAAAAAGTGGAATACGGTCCATGTCATTGGAGTATTTTAGCATGAAAACCACTGCAGCCGAATCCAAAGTACCACAGCTACGAGCTTGAAAGCACTGGCAATAGTAAGATCAATAAAGGCACTTTCGCGTGTCACTTTTTATTATGGGGCGCAAAATTTACGGTCATAACGGACTGCAATGCAGTGAAGTGCATCATCCCGCTTATAAAACAAGAAACAAGAATTGCTGCCATAGAATACAACAGATGGTGGGCGCTTCCCTAAACAAATTTTGGAATTTGAAGTTGCATACCGAAAGGAGAGAAGATACTATAGATGCAGATTTTCTTCCTTTAGGGCAGAAAAAAAACTGACTTCAGAGAGAGGAACAGTATCCACCAAGAGATGACTAGGCTAATTTAGAACCAAGGAAAACGTTCGTGATAGACCTGTATTGGTACAAACACATGTAAAGATGTCCACGCTAAATAATGAGTTTGCATCAAGGACTATGAAAAACTCAGGGATAACATTTTACACATACCAACACTACAAAAAAAACAAAAAACCCGACGATAAGGTTAAAAACTAAAAAAAAAAAAAAAACTCCGCAAATAAAAGTCGTTGTCCACACTCAAATCCTACCAGTGGAGTCTCATTAAAAAACTCCTTATTTGTTTTTATCACGAAGGACTGAAAGCATAGGGATGGAGAAAGACCAATGGGCAAAAAAAAAAAAACGATCACGGGAGAAAAAATTTTCTGGAAAAATGTCGTCAGAGAGTAGAGGCATGTGGTGTTATTACTAATGCAGAACAAATGAAAGGGCAATCCTGGAGGTCGCAACCTAGAGCTTCTGACAGCTCAGGGACTTTTCTGCAAAAAAAGGAATATGTTTTTCGTGGCTATCCGATGCATATACAAGTAATATTACAACACGCCAAAAACAAGACCCAGTACAAAGCGCAGTATTGTCGATGGTGATGGCGCATGTATATCATATAGAGATTACTGTGAGAGCTTGGATCGATACATAGGTGCAGGAACATATAAGAAGAGAGCGATGGAAGGGGAGTGATGAGAAGAGGCTTGTAGCAGCTAACGTAGGTACAATACACACAAAAGTAGGACTTCTAGCTCTGCAGTTGGACTGTAAGGTTACAATAAAGAGGTTGTGTTCCTCCCCTGAGGGTACAATAGGTAGGAGAAAAGAGGAGGACAGAGATAGATAGAGCTTCGGTAGAGGTAAGCCAAAGTGAGATTCGAAAGGGCGATACGTATCTATTAATAGAATGGCTATATACAGGGTAAAATCACAGCCCAAAACATGAGGACCTTTCGAAGTAAGAAAAAGTTTTACCTCATGATAGGTATGAGATCGAAAATCAATTGGTCGTGGGTCGGGCAAGAAAAGATGCCATGAACAAACTAAGAAGCGCTCCAAATTCGGAGTACAAAATGACAGTGCGACATAGTTCAGGAGACTAATAAAGACGTCGAAGCAAGTTCATCACATAGATTGAGTAGCAATTTTTGTAGCTTGTAAACGAGCAATGAGTTAATGTAATTTATATATTAACCAAAATTAGCGCTGAGGACTATTGACGTGCCTTGATTAGCAACCAAAGGTAGCGATGAGGCTATGAGGTTGACGTGCTTTGATAAGCAACCAAACATAGCGATGAGGCTATGAGGTTGACGTGCTTTGATAACAGCGACGAGGCTAATTAGGTGAAGTGCTCTTTATAGACAACCCAAATTAGCGACGAGGCTATGAGGTGACTTGTGTTTACGGAATTAATACTTGTTATTTTCCGAGGTCCGTTCATTATGTAGACGCAGAAGCTAGACCCCATCATCAGAATTGCCGTATCGGCGCAAACATAGCTCAAGTCACGTTTAGATTACGTCATCCTTTATTGTAATCACGCGTTCCAACTCCGACGTCGGTCCCCTCCTATTGTCGAACAATAAAATTTGCAGCGAGAGCGCATTCATTCGTTGATCAGCACCCGAACTAGACTAACTCTTATATACTTTATTCGGTGCGATTTACTTATTTTATAATTGGTATAACAAAGTGACAACAGAAATGACAAATAGTATTACAAAAGTATTATATAGTTAACCAATTGAACACACTTGATAATTGTATTTCTTTTTATAGGTAATTATACAGCATGTTTTACTAAAGTATATTAAAAATATTACATTAGTGGTCATAAATTCTACCTACAAGATTTTTTCTAAAATAGGATCAATTATATAATAGGTAAAAAGATTAAATTATTTAACAGTTTTATATAATAATGCAATATCGAATTAAATGGTATTGGTTTTAGTTCCTTTGAGAGGCCGTATAAGCAGTATTTTAATGACTACATATTTATTAGTTTGGGAAGTTGTCCGACTTTCACCATTCTAACACAAAAAAGTAGCTCATATTAAGTCTAATATCAACCTAATGTTTTGTTATAACATGATCTATGCTTGGTCCCACAGACCGTACTACATGAACAACGGGGTCGGTCCTGGGCGGAGGGAAATGTCCCCCCGGCTGGTATTTCGGTATACTATATATTTATAAATATAATACACTTTCCAGTCTGACAACGCGTCCATGCCGTACGTGAACGGTAACTACGACGTGTTGTACGAGTTCATCCACAGTCAGAACCAGTGGGTACAATACGGAGACCGCGTGTGGGTCAACCACATCGACTACGTCACACAATGCACCTCATTCAGCTACTCTGATATAGAGATCACTGACTGCGAACAGAAGAACGCGTTTATATGCGAAATTGGTAAGAATAGTTATTGACAAATGAATTTATACCTTTTGTATATAAAAATTAGGCTTTTTGTAATGCTATTGGTTCTGATGGAATGAACTACCCTCTATGGTGAGAAGTGTTATATACTGAGTCATAATTAGAATAATTTAAGTAGTCGTTGACAATTGAATTTATACCTTGTATCTATTTAAATTAGGTCTTTTTTGTAAGGCTATTGGGTGTAATTGGATGAACTACCCCCGTAATCTTAAAACAAATATAAGTACAGTTTCGATATTTGATACATAATAATACTTCCAATATTTAGACTATCACCTCAAAATTATTAAATCTATAACTTTGAAGTAATAATTGTATATCTCCAATGATAAACCGTATAAAAGACGTTTCTAATCTTCCATATTGTTAATTATGTATGGAAAAACTTGAATTTTGTTTATTAAATGCATCATTTCTCGACCTACAGACCCGAAAATCTCAATCGATCCTCTATCATGGCGCGGGGACGCGCTGGTAGTATCGTTCGTGTGTGTGTTAGGAGCGGCCTTACTACTTGTTGCACTCGCTCTTGTAGCTTGGTACTACAAATCTAAACATCGGTGAGTATAAGACAATTTTTGAGGATTTTGGTGGAGAAAAAACTACTAGGAAAGTTATATAGCCTGAAATAATCGTAATTCTTTAATAATATATTTAAGTTGTTACTTTTATAATCAAAAACCAATGGACACAAAACAACCACAAACTGATATAAAAAATATGTTTATGTCTATAAAATTATGACAAACTAGCTTTCCGCAAGCAGCTTCGCTCGCGTGGAGTTCGGTTATATCGCGTTTCCAAGAGAACCTTTCAAAAGTCTGGGATAAAAACTATCCTATGTTCTTTCTCAAGGTCAACTCTATCTCTGTACCAAATTTCATTAAAATCAGTTCAGTGGTTTAGGCGTGAAAGTGTAACAGACAAACAGACAGACAGAGTTACTTTCGCATTTATAATATCAGTAGAGATACATATCTTAAAAAAATGTATCACGAGAATCTTAAAAAATATCTCATTCGTATTAAAAACGTCGTTACTAAAGCTCTTGAATGGTGAAAAATGTTAAACTACCCACACATTAACATTTCATTACAGACATGTTCAACGACTCGAGAGACGAAACTCTATCAGGCAGTCGCTGCATTCAGTGAGATCCATCGGCAGCATTAATGGAGGCTTCCCAGATACTACATATCGAAGGAAAATGGTTCAAATGGTATAAACACACACAAAACATGTACATTAATATAGAAATTACTATTATATTACTAGCTGACACGGCAAATGTTTTGACTTAAAAAAAATGGCTTGATAACAAAGTAAAAATTTAGGGTTGCGTGTATTTTTGTTCCACATTATAAAATAATAAATTTTGTCCAAAAATTTTTAACAAATTAAGGGTGAACTGCCCTATCATTTCGGGGTATGACAAATAGATAATAGCTAATTCTCAGACCTATAGAAAATTTGATAAAAATCGGTAAAGCCGTTTCGGAGGATTACGGTATTTGACATTGTAATATAGACATTTTATATATTGGATATTTCACAAATATTTTATATTCACAGAGCACTCGTTCAACGGACACACTAACAAAAGGCTCGGATTACAAGAAGATGCTCGCTTCAACCACATCCATGGAATCTATGGAGAAGAGTCAGTTCAACTCCTCGCTTGAAGACACACAGAGCTTCGATATATATGAAGCTCACAACCCTAACAACATTATACAGTTAAAACACAGCACCTTTAATAGGAAACCTGCCTCACCCGAATACAGTGTACCACAGAATAGGCCATACAACCTAGCTTACAAGAACGAAGGGTATAAAGAAAACTCAGCTAGTTTAGCACCTTCTATGAACACTGTGGCTACAGAGGAATTACCTATAATACATCACCCAGGAGGAATCACATCACATGATGATGATACACTATCACCTACAAGTCCTTCACAATATTTCAATTCAGATACATTACCATTAACCGGAGATAACTCAGATGACCCAATATTCATGAAGAGGGAACTTGAAAAAGAAGGGAAAATCTATGGACCCTATGGGGCTCGGGATCATGGCGGTCAACCCAAGCTATCATTCCTAATGGAATTGAGATCTAAGCTGCCAGAACAACCTCAAGCTATACCAGCTACAACCTTTGGACACAGACGAGGTAAAATAATAATATATTAATAATACTTTAATATCTTAATAGTCAATAGTTTTAATTCAGTTGAAGTTATTAACATTATTGTTTAAAAATTAATTGCTAAAAAGATGTGATGTTTTATAGAGTTAATCTCTACTAATATTATAAATGCGAAAGTAACTCTGTCTGTCTGTTACGCTTTCACGGATAAACCACTGAACTTATTTTAATGAAATTTGGTACAGACATAGAGTTGACCTTGAGAAAGAACAGGATAGTGTTTATCCCAGACTTTTGAAAGGTTCTCTTGGAAACGCGATATAACTGAACTCCACGCGGGTGAAGCTGCGGGCTAAAAGCTAGTATTACATAAAGTAGACAATGACTTCAATAGTATCACTATCATCACCAATAAATTGTCTGCCGATCATGAACTTCTTATACATCACACCTCTGAGTTAAATCTTCATCTCTTCCTATACTTTTCAGGACTATTATAAGAGAGTAACAATAACATATTATTCGCAGATGAGCCTCAATATTATGATGACAGACTACCCAGTCCACAGCCGCCTGGCTATCAAACAGATTATCCAACTAACTATGACTATGAAACAAGTTATCCTGAAAGCTATCAAGCCAGCGCCACTTCATCACCAGACCTTCATCCATCAGATCTATACACTAGATCGAGATCGGAAGCACTTTTAGAAACAAACTTCGATTTCGAAGACTCACAAAATTCTCAACTCTCCGAAGCAAATAGAGCGCACAGCCAACCTTTAGAAACTGCCATGTAATGTAGGAAATATACAGGGTATCTATCAGTAAAAAACATAATAATAACTATTATTTCAACCGTAAATGATAAAAATCACAAACAATTACTATTTTAATCATGTACAACATTTTAATATACTTTTTAAGTATAATTAACTAAATGGCGGGAATTTGATTTCAATTTAAATCGAATCAATACGAAGATTGCTAGATTTAAAAATTATTTTTCTTGGGGCCTTATGAATATATATTTAAAATATATATACACTATAATTCCATTAGAATAAGTTTGATTAAAGACTGACAATGTCTTATTAAGTACTGTAATTCAAAGTGCATTTTAAAATATATATTTTTATGTACTGAATACACAACGTAAATATTAAATAGTATTAATATACTTTTAATTACTTTGTAATGTAGAAATAACGATCTCAACACTTGATATAAAAACATCGGTGACATATTATCGTGAAGTTTGTTAAAACATTGTTACCATTTAAAAAATACATTGTTTATGTAGGTACCGCCGTACTTCCTTGACTAAAAATATTAATGTTAATTTAGACGTATAAAATTTAGTTTATTTAGTTGAATTATTAAAATATTAAATTGACATTTTTACTAGAATTTAGTTGAAATATTATAAATGTATGTTAATGTCCGTCCTTTAAAGATGTATATGTAGAGATTTATGTAATTTTAAGATTAAATGTTTAATTTTTTTTCTACAATATAAATATAATTCTTTATATCTTTTATACTATTTCTACACTATGTCATCAAACTGTTGTATTCTAAACATGAACCTATTTCTGTATTAGTCTTTCCACTATAAATATCTACGCTTTATTAATGTCTAAATACAAATCGTACAAATCTGTAAATACAGTAAACATTAAAAGGAATATTATTTTCTTATTTCTGAATATTTTATTTGTCATTTCCTTATAAATATCGTCGTTTCCTCTAAATATAAATTTAAATCAACTTAAAAAAAATATCATTGAGAGAAATGAAACAGAATTAAATTTTAACTTTCCTATGCACCTTATATGTTATTTTTGTATTACTAAAACAGTACTATCTGAAATAATTTATTGTGATCAATAGTCTCCTTGTAATCACAAACAAATCTACGAAGAGTTGATGTTCTTAAAAAAAATAGATATGTTGAATATTCTTCCTTTATGTTCCTATTAGTTTCGTTAAACTCTTCAAAATAAAGAAAGTTATATTACAGGAAATTTAATTTTTCTTGCTATGTCTGTGGAAGGCATTTGGAACTGCTAAGCAAATGCTGGTGGGATGTAAGGTAGGTACTCTTGAATAGAGGTCACTACTCGCGTCGTCACGATAAGATTCTGAAAATCAGTCGTGAAGCGTTTAGTCTTACGGTAACCAGAGTGGAAAGGGAAACCTTCCTTAGGAAACCAACATCCTGAAAGACCATGACATCAAGGTCAATAAATATTACAAGCTTACTTATCAACTTACTCGAAATAGGTACGTTGTGGATTTGTACTAAATATAACGGCTAAATATCCCTACGACCCACTAAATGACTTTGGCCTGTCCAGAACTCACATCAATTCATTCGGGGAAAGTTTTTCAAAGGCAGCCCTCATAGGTTCTTTTCAAATTTAGTTAAGTAGAGAGAGGAGTTTAGTTTTATAATTTTGTACCATAAAAGAGAAATCTGATAATTTCTATGTAACTTAATACATTGAAATTTTTAAAACAAAATAAATATGTGTTTTTTAAAAATTAAGCTTCTATTATAATTTCTTATGTATTTCGGAAATGTTATTTATGAATATTTTCTTTTGGCTCTGGTTTTTATTTAGAAAAGGGAATTAATCAATAACTGAGTCATAGTAAATCCAACATCTGGCAACACAAATTTGCAAAGTCAGAGTTTAAAATGTCGATATTACATAGAATCGCAGACTGTGCACGATTTAATAATGAATATTTTAAAATGAAAACAGTGTTCCTCTTAATCACAACAACTGCGCTTGAATGAACGTTAAATGAGTTTTAAATTATTTTGTTTTATTTTTTTATGGGAAGATCTCTTGTGAGAAAACGATATCACCATGGACACAGCAGGATCGATAAACAATGAGGATTATAATATAGAAAGCATTGAGCAAGAAGATGATGCTGATTATTCGGAAGAACGGGAACTGGTGAATGACTCGTGTTCCACGAAGGTGTTGGACCCTTCAGAGGAGCCTCGCGACCGCTACTGTCTCGTTTACATTTTGTTTTATTTATTCGGGATAACTTCGCTTGTTTCCTGGAATTTCATTATAACAGCTAATGACGTGAGTAATATTTCCACTATTTTTTTTTTTTCATGTATCCATTAGTCAATATTATATACAAGTGCACACAAGATACAATTTATTAATTACAAAATCCTTTGTAGTTTTATTACTCTTATTCAGTAAGTGGTATCCAATTTGCTTTAGCAGTGCATTTCTTTATCTGATGGCAATGAATACAAATAGGTATTAAATTCAGCATCTAAATTAATTTGCATAGCTTACTATTTCAAATGACTAATACTTATAAATATTAAGTATAATATATTTTTAGTGTTAGAAGAAATAATAATGACAATCTTTATATTAGAGGTATATTAATAATAGGAATATATTGATTAACATAATTCTTATAGTAATTATTATCATAAGTTCTAGTTCTATCTGTACTCATTTATTTAATTATCAATACTGCAATAATATTGAATGTAATGGGAATTCATTTTATCAGTCTCATATAGGTATAATGAAACATGTTTGTTTATACTTTTTTAGGTAATTTTTATGTTCAATTAAATTTTATTTATATTGTAACTGATAATTTTATAATTTTAATTATTTCTTTGTTGAGAAGTTTAATTAAAATATTTTACTTAATATTGGAGTTTCAGTAAATTTTTAGATTAATAATAAACTTTTTTATTGACATTATATTCATGAATATAATTCATTTGTTTATGAGACAATTAATTTACGATTTATATCCACAGTAGTTAAAGGTGCATAAAACTGAAGTATTTAGTTATTTTTACGATATTTTCCTTACATTACATAAAAATATATGACAAAAAAAAAAGTTGTTTTCTGCAAATATTGTTTAAATATTGTTTGTTTTTTACCATTTTTTCGGAATTCAGAAATGTTCAATTTTCAATAGTGATTTTGGCTGACTGCTTGTTAATTTACTCGTAAATCACAGCCAGTTGTAATGCGACATGAACATTAACATTATGAAGTATACTTAAAATCATATTCTAAATTAAAAATACTGGATAGTTAGAAGTAAAATTTTTAGTTATTCTTTTAAAACACATGGCCTTAATAAATATCTATTGCTACTTAAGTTATTAAGGTACATAATATGGTTACTGAAGTTTTATTTTTGTTAACATATGACAAAATAGAGAGTAAGTTTTTTTGTATGATTTTAGTATAGTAACACATAATAACATTGTTCCAGTATTGGATGTACAAGTTCCGAGATGTCACACCAAATAATCTTACATTCTATGTTCGTAAGACTCAGTTCCAAGCTGAGTTTACATCTTACCTCAACGTCGGCACTGCTATACCCAACCTGATATTCCTCATGCTGAACTCGTTTTATGGACATCTGTAAGTTGTTTTTATGGATACTAGTAATTTTATAAACTAATAATTTGTCTCTTTATCATGAAACAACACTTAAGACTAAATTTGTCTGCATATTTGTGATATGCTATTGCATATTCTATATGAAAGATTCTGTGAGTAAAAATGTCTATGAGAATTATGTCTTAGTATTCCTATAATAAAGATTTTAACTTGAAAGCAACATCAATAGGTGTACACTGTATGGTTACAGTAAATGCATGAATTATTATTTCTTTGAGTAATAGTGAAATGCAATGTTCCAGAAAAATAACAAGTATCTATAGTGTATTTTACGTGTTTTTAAGCTTTTTTTAAACGATTTCCAAAATTCAAAACAAATCTACCGGGCCATGTATATGGATTTTTATTAAGTTTAATACGTTTTCTAATGATATAATTCTCGTTTGTGATTCAGTTTTAATGGCCTCTAGCAGGTGTAAGTGTAATTGCGTTTCTATTATACATTAAATAAAACGAGGTTATATTCTCAAGGTCTTGTATTTTCACGGTAAAAAACTACGATGTCCTCATTAGTTTTAAATAATACTTGATACCTTCTTAGTCTTACATATAAAATATAGTTTAAATCCTGTCTTTACCACAAGTTTGCATGGTCACACTACTTACGGAGCGTTAATAGTTAGACATTCATTAACCTTCGCGCAATATAGTATTGTAGTGTGTTATTGTATTAAAAACGGGAAACGCTTCGTGCTCAGTGACGATCGTAACTTATACTAAGTTCCCTTTACAGTTTACTCCTACCACGAATTCTCGAATCTAGACTAAATGCAAATAGTTTTCAAGTCTTTCATAAAACATGTGTTAGTACTATCATATGCTATTGTTAATAATGAATCATTATTATTGATAAACCTTTTTGTTTGTTATAGTATAATTTCCCGTATGATTATTATCAATATAATATGTCTATCATAACGTTCTAGTGTAGGTGATATAATTTAGAGGTTTTCCAATACAGTATCTGGCCTATGATAAGAAATTGGGTCGATTTGTATATGAGCATTTATTTTTGGCGTGATTTTTGACTGACTTCGAAATAGGATGTCATGTTTTTTATGTATACTATCTATGCATTGATGTATGTGTGTGTGTATGTATGAATGTATTTGTTAGTAAGTCAGTAATAAAGTCTAGTACTATATTATTTCATATATATCAGGGTATCAGTAAAGGCGAGGCTCCAAGGTTCTCTTTTGGTGGTGACGCTATGTTTTCTCATCACCACGGCCTTCGTTCAAGTCGACACTGATGAATGGCAGAACACCTTCTTCATCATCACTATGGTGACGGTTGTCGTGATGACTGGTGAGTTATCAGTTTTCTTAATAGCGATATATCAGTTCATTTCATATGACTGTACTTTATTTGTTACATTCTATTCATCATTTTGTTTTCTTTAATAGCGATATATCAGTTCATTTCATATGACTGTACTTTATTTGTTACATTCTGTTCATCATTATAAAGAGGAACTCTTTTCTGCAACAATTTATGTACATTAATTGAAACTATGCGTTACAAATTTCTTGAAAACCTTAAAATGCATTGCTTATATGAAATACATTTTAATATATTTGAACAAAAACTAGACCTTTTATCCTTATTATATCACGTTTGTAAATAATTCCCATTCATAAGCTATAAAAAGGTAAATATTATGTATATGTATAAATATTATTGAAATTTTAAGTATCACATAATATATTTTTAGTTTAATATGTGTGGGTTCAACGGCCTACAGTAAAACAACTTTGTCTACCTTTTCTTGACCTTAAGATATATATTTTTTTATTATTTTTATGTCTGTCTTTTATTGATTAGGATCATTCTTGGGTTTCATATTATTTTTGTCAAAGACGTACATTTTTAATAATAATTAATTAATTAAATAATACGATGATTTTTTCTGTAATTCTAAAGAAAGAAAAAAGAAATAGTTTTAACTTAATTGGAATTTTTGTACATTTGCAATAGGAGTGTTATCTTACATACATATGTTTAGATATTAAAATTAATTGCATCGTCAATTTTTAAGAAATTTTATAACAATGAAACTTAAATATCAATAAAAGTTATCAGTATATTAAAAATAATCATATTTTTTTATATTCACTAATTAATTATTAATTAGGTATTAGAGCTGGCTTGTATGAATTATAAATAAAAAAACTACTTATATTAATTTAAAAACATAGTCTACAATTAAGATTGTCTATATCTAAATCTAGACTCTAGACTCATTTGCAGATTGTTATAAAATTAATGATTTATTATTTTCTTTAAAACCTCTTCAATTATTTAAAATCTACTTAATTATAAATCTTACTGGCTATTGAGTTTTGTGTTGGTGTGTCCATTTAAACTGAGGCTTGAAAATGTAGTTTTCAATTTCATAATTATAACATGAATAAAACACATACACATATATTTGTAATACTGAAAATGTCTGTAAAATCGTTCATTTTATATATGTATATGAAATATATGACTTGCTAACAGTTTTATGAAGATCAACACCAGCATAATGTTTCTGGTATATAACAGTAATAATATTACAATGGATATATAAAACTATGTTGTTTATAACCATCTGCGCCCGCGTCTAATAATTAATTGACCTTTAGTATCGCGATAATAACTATCGATGCGCACTGCACAGTGCACTTAGCATTAGCTTTTACAAATGGAAAATATATTGCGTAATTATATACTAGTTTATGACGCGGATCTGCTTGGAGTTCTGAACAGAGAAACGATTAGTTTGTACGCTAAAAAACCTACTATTGTTTATAATCAGTGTCACGTGATTTAGCAAAGAATACAACATGTTTAGTATGAGTTTGCATCGTTACATTAAATTACGTTTTACTACGTACGTTAATACTATACGTCAAGTTTTATTAATGAATAACTGTTAACGCCCCGTATGTAGTTTGGCGACATGTGTTTTGATACATACGTTAATACTATAAGTCAAGATCTATGAATGAGATGCTACTAACGTTACGAATGTAGTTTGGCGACGTGTGCACTATTGTAACGTTTCGTCTCTCGAATTACACGTAATTTATAAAGATTATTCAGTATTTATATCAAGTAAAGTTTTTTAAACGGCCGTACTAATTTTTGTTGGTTATTATATGTATTAGTAGGATAATGCAATATTTTCTTCTGACTTTGGCAATATGATGCGTCATATTTGAATGAGATGTTTATAATAATTACTAAGTACCAAAGAGAAGACTCAAGCCAAAAACAAACAATATTTTAAAACAATATTTTATTGTACCCTACAGTAAAAATTTATAACATACTAGTTTTTGCCCGCGACTTCGTCCGCGTTAATTTCATCATTAGTAATATATGTATAGCTGACCGGGCGAACTCTATTCCGTCCTAGAGGCCATAATTAATCAGGTTTTTCCTGTTTCAATCGAACAGAATGATTGACATATTAGTTAGTTGTCAAATCTAATGTCAAAGAAAACATTTGTATGGGAAATAGAAAAGGGCTGTTTTTAGTTGTTTCCCGAAAATGAATCAATTTTTCTCACCTTTTATACCTTCCCTGAACCTCCACGAACATTTCAAGACTAAGATAAGATAAATCCGTTCAGCTGTTCTCGAGTTTTAGCGAGACTAAGGAACAGCAATCCATTTTTATATATATAGAAGTATATTAAATTGAAATTAAATCCTCGGAAATTTTCCTTTGAGTTTATTTAAAAACCAAATATGTGGCAACTTTTGTCGTTATACAAATACGAGAGTACGAAGTAATTCAACAATCAGATTTAAAGGACTTAAAGAATTTTAAAAACAGGATTTTGTTGAAAGTAGTTTAAAACAACTTTCAACAGAAGTATTTGTAATAATATTAATTATTGTCTTGTATTTACGAAACACGTGTATAAAGATTTAATAAAATCTGAAACGCTATATAAGAACAAAGCTATTTATGAAAATAGCTTGTGACGTATTATGAACAAATATTTAAAGCAATTTGAATATTTATTGAAACAGAAAAAAGCATATCGATTTATTTTAAGTTGAGTTATAATTCAAAAAGACAGATAAAATATTAGTATATATTGAATTTACCATATCAACACTCTCGCTACAACATATTATACATATAAATATGTTAAAAAAATTCTTTTGCTCTCATTATTTTTCTTGTAAATTGCTTTACATCTCAAGTAACTTTAGCTTCATCATGCATGTGTTTTAGCGTCTTTGCCACAGAACAGGTTTTATTAATCTATATATATAACCTACTTTATAATGTCACGAGAATTCTATTTATAGCTCAAAGAGATGCGATCGAAAAGATATATATGTTTAAAAGTTATTACCGACTAGATTTTTTAAATTCTAGCTACAAAAATTAAACTGTTATTGTCATAGAATTATTATCGTAATTATGGATATTTAAAAATACATTATATATAATATCTTATATATAAAATTCACGTGCCGCAGTGTTAGACAGAGAACTCCTCCGAAACGGCTGGACCGATTTTGATTAAATTTTGTGACCATATTGAGTAGGCCTGAGAATCGGCCAACATCTATTTTTTCATACCCCTAAGTCATAAGGGTTGTTCACTCTTATTTTTTTTGTTTATTTTCGGACGAATTTTTTGTTTTTATCTTTTTATAATGTAGCTTTAAAAATACATACAACCCAAAATTTTTACTTTTTGATCACCAACGCCTATTTTTTTATATGGCAAAACAACAAGATTTTAATTATTGTCTATTTTTTTGTTAATACTGCATTATTTACACAAGCCCTGTGTATTCATTTTTATTTAAGTTTCTTATGTGTCACAAATAATTCGTTTGCGACCCGCTTAGGTCGATGAACCCGTTTTTATAGAACTATATAAAATAAATAAATATGACTTCGATTTAAGTACTAAAAATAAACTGAGAGGTGTTCATTTTAATTAAAGAGAACATTGTAAAGTAATTATTTGTAAGGATTTAAAATGAAATAAATTAAAATGCTAATAACCTAATAATTCTTACGACTTATTCTTTTAAATAAAGGTATTTTTTTTCCATGTTATTACTTTTTTTCATATTATTTTTTTATTTCGCTTTTAACAACCCAGATGCCTAAGTTAGTGTTGTTTTCTGTCTTTTACAGCCTTTTTTAGCCTATCAGAGCCCTCTGCTGAGCAAAGGCCTTTTTCTCTTATGGAGAAGGTTTGAGCATTAATCACTACGCTTGCTCAAGACGTCCAACTCCTTAATTATATGCAGATACTTTTTGCAACGTTTTAAGCTTTTAGTTGTTTTTTTAAATCCTACTATAATTATTAATTAGGATTCAGGTAAATTTAATCATAAAAAACGTGGGTTATATACTTAAAGAACAATTGTATGTAAATAATATTATTAGGTTTTTATTTCTTGCAAATATAATTTTTTTGTTGTTCAATTATTGAAATTATCTGATTTGTAAATAATGTATAGGTAGTTGATTCATTATCAGTAATTAATTTCCGGTCGATGACCTCCTAATATGACTTCGTCCTAAATATATTATCAATAAATATATATCAAAAAAGGTAAAAAAGGGTATTTATAAGAATATCAATAAAAAAGTAATATTGTATCTACGGTCCGTTTTATTGGGAGCTATGAAATTGATATTTTAAGGTTTATGAAATGCAAACACATTGAAATCTGATTTAATATTTATATTCCGAGAGATTTAAAAATTAATAAATAATATTATGTGTTATTATTAAACGGTTATTCTTTTAATTCTTTTCATTGTCGTTATAAATAAAATATATATAGAAGCGCAATACGAAGTTTGAAAGTAATTGCAAAGTTCAGTTAAACACATACTAATTGCACATATGTATTCATTCGTATATCTACGTAGATACTATTGTGAGCGATTAATTAATGTAAAAGAAACTCGTAGTAAGACTACAGCTGACAAAACTAACAAGAAAAAATCGAAATTCATATCAAATTTGTTATTTTAATTGAGACTAATATTTTCGGATTACTACGCCTATTTTATGTTTACATCTCATCTGCCCGTGATCACGGTTGTTGCAAAGTACACAAAGGACACATCGAAGTGTCTTTAAAATAATAAAATAACGCGTAGTATATCTCAAGATATTAGTTTCATTTAAATGAATACTTAGTCTTAGATCTCATTACATATTTTCTTAGAACATTTCGATTTCATACATTAAAATGTTTTTTTCAGCCGCCAGCGCAATCTTCATCGGCAGTCTCGTCGGTATAGCTAGCAAGTTCTCAAAGGAATACATGGGAGCAGTGATGAGCGGTCAATCATTAGGCGGGATAATAGCTGCCATAGCTCAAATCATATCTTTAGCTTTCAAAATCTCCCCGCTCCACAGCGCGCTAATATACTTTATAATGGCGGATATTATACTTATAGTATCAGCTGTTTCCTACGTCCTAATGAATAAGATAGATTTTTTCTCCTACCATATTCTGCGAGGCTCTGGCGTAGCGACTAACAGACATCGCGATGTATCTATGCTGATCATATTGAAGAAGATTTGGGTGTACGCGTTCAGTATTTTCGCGGTGTTTGGTATATCTATATGCGTATACCCGGCTGTAACCGTTTTAGTGGAGTCGCATCCCGTTACTACTGGCACCGATTGGAACAGTGAGTTATATGACTATCCCTACTAATATTATAAATGAAAAAGTAACTCTGTCTGTCTGTTTGTTACGCTTTCACGCTTAAACCACTGAACTGATTTTAATGAAATTTGGTACAGAGATGGAGTTGACCTTGTTAAAGAACATAGGATAGTTTTTATCCCAGATTTTTGAAAGGTTCTGTTGGAAACGCGATATGACCGAACTCCAGGCGGGCGAAGCTGCGGGCGGAAAGCTAGTTTATACTTTATAATAAACACTAACACATATGACGTACATCATTATATATTGCAGGCTTTCTCAGCTTGAATTAAACGAAATACACTTGAATTCATGCAAAACATGCCTTGTAATGTTCAAGTATAAACTGTAACCTTTTTATCATTCTGATGTCTAACTCACTACACGAATTTCTAATCATAATCTGTACAGTGGTTTGTGAGTGAAAGAATACTTAATACACACACACACACACATACACACATTATTTCACACACACATGTACACATATAAATATATATTTAACAATCTACGTAACGCTATTCCAGACATATTCTTCGTGCCGGTCGTCAACTACCTGATCTTCAACTGCGGTGATTACTCCGGCAGGCTCGCCTCGGCATTCCTCTTACGAGTGAGTCTACAATAATAAATATAATAAAACATAATACGTCTTATATGTAACAGATTATATTATATTTTCTTGTAGCAAACATACGGTCAGAATCGCTTAACAAATAGCACTGCTAGGATATTTTTATAATTTAAAGTTATCATCCACATAAAATATTAATATTATATAAAAATGAATCTATTGATTGTCAACTGTTTTGTTTTAATGTCCAAAAGATGTCGCTAGTTGTCTGTGTTCTATAATAACGATATGACCAACCGATCTATATACAATTAGAAATATAACGATTAGAAACCAAAATAGAACTCTCAACTTATTATCGTACTGTAATATAATATATTTAGGATTCTAACAAAATCATAAAAAAAATATAGTTGGATTATAAAGTCATTATTACTTTTAAATAACAAATCAAACCATAACTAGTACAACCTAATTATTATCTTAAACCAAAACACCTTACATAATTTAAATTCAATTTACAAACATACAAATCACATTCCCGCGTAAAAGTGAATAATAAAAACATCAGCTTAATGTCACTTCGGGTGTGTTCGGAAATTTAAATGTTCGATTAAAATTAAAAGTGCGTTCCATAAACATATATTACTGAGAGACGGAACTTCTTACCATTCAATGTATTCACGGTGCGTGTGTCGGGTCCATCGTTGTAGTGAGAGGAGCTTCAACAGAGCCTGGGACTTGTGACCCAGGTGTAGGTTTAAGGGTCCTATCTAACGCGCGTTAAACGCTCACCTCCACTGTGCAAGCTCCTCTCTCTACCGAACCAAATTTGAAAAGAACCTACTAGGGTTGCCTTGACGTACGATCCAAGTACATACATGTGCTTATACTATAGCGCCTTATTTGGTTAGCGTGAAATAAGACTATAATAACAAGTCCGTTTAATTGAATCTCTATTACTATTTATACTAGCCATATATTATTATAAGATACTCGTAGTATATACTAATAAGTTTATAACCCGCCATCCCCAGCCGACCAACCAGTGGGTGATAGCGTCCCTGAGCGTGTTACGCGTGGTGGGCGTGCCTCTACTCATGTTGTGTAACGCCCAGCCTCGCCAGCATCTGCCCGTAGTGTTCCCGTGGGACTACCAGTACATCAGCATCATGATTGTGTTCGCGTTCACCAACGGATACCTGACTAACATCATCATGATCAATTCCACCAGGTAAAAAAACCATTATACACTTTAATATACAATATACATTATTATACACAATATATACATTTAAAACTACATACTCCAGACGTTTCGGTTACTTTGCAGCAAACTGATCACGGTTGCTACAAAGAAACCGAAACGTCGGGAGTATGTAGTTTTAAAAACAATAAAATAACGCGTAGTAATGCGAAAGTATGTAGTTTCATTAAAAATGTATACTCGAGAAAGTCTTAGATCTGACCATGTATAATGTATATACAGGGTGACTGGTGAATTACTATCGATACTTGAGGACGTGATATTTGACGATCATATATGACAAAATAAAAATTAATATAACATAAATATTAATAAACTTCTAAGTAAAGTTAACCAAAAGTTATGTAATTAATTACGCATCGCGTGAACACCCTACAGATTAGGTATACACACACACACACGCGTGCGTGCGTGTGACGGCGTGGTGTTGTATCAGCACGCCGTCGCACGCGTCCACAGTTGGAACACTTGGAACGTGTCCACACTTTATTTATTTATACGGAAATTTGGTCAAAAATTAAGTCCCTATTTTTTTTACATAATTCGAATGAGAATCATGTACCGAGTATTCTCCTAAAATATTGATAGTAATTCACCAGTCACCCTGTATACATGATGTTCATCATTAATATTTATTACATTAATACAAATTTTTAATTTTATCAAATAATAGTAGATACATCATAATAATAAGTATGTCAAAGCTGTACTAAATATACATATTACTAATTTAATAAAAATATTTCCTATACAGAGTCGTTGAAATTCACGAGCGTGAGAAAGCGTCAAGCGTGATCGCCACCATGCTGAGTGTCGGTCTGACGGCCGGCGCTGCGGTCGGTATGCTGCTAGTGAGACTACTGTAAGAAATACGAAGAATAAACATGATAGAACGAAGATACCATAAACAAACATAGACGATATAACATATAGACCGTTACCATAGACAAACATATATGATAAATCATGATGAAGATTACCATAGACAAGCATAGACGATAAATCATATTGACAAAAGAAATTAAACTTAAATGCTCTTCTTCTTATAATAAAAATTATGATAAACGCAGTGTACATACGCTAAGATGTTATTTGTATGATTTTAAATGTAATGTAGATTCAGATAAAAAATATTGTATACTGTAAAATCATTATATACTTTTAATAGAAAATAATTTGTAAATCATGACATATACAGGGTGACTGGTGAATTACTATCAATATTTAAGGAGCATACTCGGTACATGATTCTCATTCGAATTATGTAAAAAAAATAGGTACTTAATGTTTGACCAAATTTCCGTATAAATAAAGAAAGTTTGGACACGTACCCAGCCTTGCCGGCGCCATGTCGCTACTCCCCACCGACGCCCCGTGGCTAATTAGTCGGGCGAGCGCCGCCGTAAGGTCCGTACGTTCATCTTCCCGCGCGCGCGCCTGGCGATCGATCTTACGCGTATACCTAATAATAATCTGTCGTGTGTGCGTGTGACCCGTTATTACTTATTAGTAATTAAGTATGGCTTTTCAATACACAAATGCAGAATACTTGGACATGGTTCATGCGTATGCGCGTGCAAATGATAGCTTGCCGGGCGCAATCAATTTGTACCGGGAGATGTTCCCCAATCGTCGAGTACCTACGGCCAGCGTCATCTTAAACGCTAATCAAAGATTACGAGACTTCGGACAGTTCCGTGTTCCAACACATGCCCAAGGAAACGTCTTGTGTATGCTACAGAGTATGTAAACAGAGAGGAGTTGAAATTAAAAATCAATAGTGATTTTAAAACTATTAAAAGTGACCCATTCGTATTCAATCGTGTAGTGTTCAATTAGTGTAGTTATCTAGGTAAATAGGTAGTTTAATGATTGACAATTGTTGTAAATAAGTATGATTCTATTCTTAAATACGCCGGAAATACCAAGATAGGTAAACAGTTCATATTATTTTTTTGTGTCAAGTTCACACCATTTACCTAGTCAATAAATTGGTTTCTTAAATGAATGAAATATCTTGGTATTTTTGCTTGTTCTAAGCCAGGATTAAAGTATGAAGGGAATTGGATCATTTTAGTTTATCTAAGGTCTAACACGCGGCGGCGCGCGGCGTTTGGATGTAGGTAAACTACCGCGCGATAACTGAATGTACCTACGTACATAACTGTTTTGTGTCGATAACGCAGCTAGGGTATCCACACGATCCGTAATTAATTACATAACTTTTGGTTAACTTTACTTAGAAGTTTATTAATATTTATGTTATATTAATTTTTATTTTGTTATATATGATCGTCAACTACCACGTCCTTAAATATTGATAGTAATTCACCAGTCACCCTGTATATATACTATTAACACGAGATTACAGCATTGAAGGAAATACTGATAGTTTGAAGTTCTTCATTAATAAACTTTAGCACATAGTACCAACATGTTTAATATGTGTGAAAAACTTCTAATTTATCCTTATTTACTACATAGAAACTCGTGTTAAGCATAATGTATAAATATTATATGATTGATTTAATATAATTAAAATCAATCTAAGATTATTAAACACTTAACTATTACATTTAAAGTTTAAACACGTTAAAGCACAATAGATGGCGTTGTTAGTAAAAAAAATTAATTACTATCTTAGACGGGTTATCAAAGTTCATAAATAGATGAAAAAATATATTTTGAAAAATAAAAAAAAAAATGTCTATACATGAGGGTTTATGTTTAGACTTATTGTGATGTGTATTTTCGTCTTAAATTTTCTATATTTATTGCGAGATTCAATACTTTAAAGGCAATTTCTATTCAATTATGCTTTTTGTATAGAAAAAATATTGTCTTTAATTTAAATGTATGTAGAATTAATATGATGTTAGTTATAAGTTTCCCAGGATGTAAATATATGGGATTAAGAAATAAAAACTTCAGAGTATTAGTTTATAAGTGATGTTGTTCAGTGTACGTACTGAACGTTAATGAAAACATGTAAAGTAGATGTAAGGTTTTATAGTGTTATATATGTAGTATGTATTACTGTGATTTTACATATTTCTGTTACAAAATATCTGCTTATTGACCTTATATTAACTAATTTTACCTTTTGACCCATATAATCGCTGCTACAATTTGACACACAATGAGATCCAAGATTTTCGCGAGTTTTATTCATTCAAATGAAATTATTATTATTCGGATATACTTCGCGACTTTATTTTTATAAAAAACTACATTTATTTAAATGAATTGTTACTCATATACCTGACCATGTCATGAGTTTTGATTTGTTTATGTCTTAAGTATATTTGAACTGATTAGAAAAAAACTGTCTCTCTATAAACATGGGTATTAAGTAATTGTAAAATCTGCTTTAATTTCAATGTTAACTAAATACTTCACTTTTCTGACATGTGTAATTTAAAGTGGACGATGTTTTAGAAATAAATATTTACTTGAGGAAGAATGTTATCATGATATATATTTATCTCTTTGATAATAATTATGATATGTGTTAAATAAAAAATAAATATCAGTCAAGTTTCAACAAAACAGCAATATTTAATACAGTGGACCATTAATAATTAGATGAACATTGTTCAGTGTTGGACAATCAAATTTGTTGGTTCATAGAGTACTGCTCAAAATCTATAGTCCAGAATTATTTACAAAAGAGTACCTTCTAATCCGACAAATTAAAGATTCAGTAATAAAATTCTTCTTCTTTAGTTAGTGGCTTTCCTGATAAATTTCGCCAATATCGTGTGCGGTAATAAAATTCTATGTGCTCTAAATGATATATTACATCGTAGCTACTTTATCTTGACTCTGATTGGTTGGAATTACTAAAAGTTAAATTCTAACCACTCAGAAACAAGAAACTAAACGTTAACACAACAGTAATGCGTACAACTTATAAATATTCACTCATTGCCGAAAATTGGTCATACTAAAATATAATAGTGAAATTGTTGGATAAAACAAGCTGAATTACTAAGGTCCACTGTATTGAATTAGTTACAGATACTAAAGAAAGGAAAAGTAATCTTTTTTGTAAAATATAAATATACTTCTCAGTTGACGCTACCTTTTGCTATAGTACTTCTGTCACAAAAATTTTAGTCTTTGTATACAGTTTAACGTTCGAGTATTTATAAAAGCTTTAGTTGTTACCTTACTATAAAATATATACTTATTTTTTTACAAATGATTATTTTGGAGTTCAAAGATTGTGTTAAGTACAACATTAATTGTATATCGTAGAGTAAGTTTAATATTTTAACCTTTATAAGTAACATGTTAAAAAATATATATATTTCTGTAGAATTTTGGTGCTTATATTCTGTTTTACTATTATCTATTCTTGTGTATATATAACAAAATATATTTAATTTAGGAATATAAATTCTCAAATTAGGAAAAATATTTTAAAACTTATAACAATTAAATTTTATAAATATTGATATTTAATGATAATAATCAATATACGTAGATTAAATTGCCATACTACTAACTACTCGCATAGAAATATACTCTAATAATAATCTATTGCGCTATATAATGATCCCAGCTTGCAGCTTCAAAATATATTTAAGATGAATCATCAATAAAATACATTCCATTTTATCATAAAATATGTAAAATTAGCGAATAAGAAAACAATTTATGAAGAATAAATTGTATTAGCATAGAATTAATTAGTAATACTGTGTATTGGAGTATAATACATTTATATTGAATGTTTATGACTTAAAAACATATATATAACATAATAGAGTATTTACGAATATTAAAAAAAATTATAGTTATCAATCAATTTTATATTTAGGTGTACTTATTCAGCAAAATTCATATATCCTAAGACGTTTATATTATCTAAATATCTGTATAGGAATAATCGAAACAGAGTAACTATTCCCACGTGTATAATGTAGGACCTTGTAATAGCAGATCTCATATTGTAAAAGTTATATACATTTGTAGACTTAAGTTACATATATATTTAAATTGTTTATATATAATTTCGTTCATGTTTTGTAACTTTTTATTAATTGTGATAATTTAAACAGATCCCAAAGCTGCACACAGGATAAAAATTACATTATTTTTCATACCATTATGACTTTATGTGTATATATTAAAAAGAATCATTTATATATAAATGTTTTATGTATTAACTTTATATTGTTGAGTTAAATGATTAATGTTTCACGAATTTGAATTAAATTACCATTCAATGGATATATTGATGTATTTAGTGTATGAGACATGTGTATTGTAAGTTCATAAATATAAATTGGAAATTCATTAATAAACCAAAAAAATGTAACTCATCTTAGATGTGAGGTTCTATTTGTTGAGATTTTCAATTTTTATTTGTCAACATATCGTAGCTAGCAGCTGTAACATATCTTCATATTTATGTGCAAATAAATTTATATGTGTCATTTTTTGATTTATTTTCCTTAGGTTTCATTAAAACGAGCATTTCAGACTTCAGTTGCTTTAATAAATTATGTCATGTAAAAATAAAATCACAACTAACGACTATCATAGATATTATAACTAAGTTTACATTATTAGCAGTAAGAAACCTATCAAACGAGAAATCAGGCACCATTGGTTTAAAAACGATGAGAAATTACTCAAAAACCACTTATAATTACAACGCCATCTCTGGACGAACGTCAGTACCATTAAATTTACCAAACAAATACCCAAAACAAACATTAAACATCAGTCCTTAAAAACCTTAAATAAATGTGACACAACGTTTTATATTAATATATATAATAAAAATGATTTTTCAAGTCTCCTAAATACATATTAAATACATATTCTTGTATCTCAGTTTCTTTATATAAAAGTTTAATCATTAACCTAGAGTTATTACAGATTCAATATAAATTGTCTTTTTAAAAATCGTATTTAGGAGTAAACAAAAAAATATTGTGCGTCACTAGCAAAACTAAAAACGCTAAAGAAAAACATAGAAATTCAAAACATATTCGTTACAAAATCAACTGATTGTATGATTTAAATGTATTATATGTTTATTTCTCAGCGAATATTTAATATTTTTCGTCATTTGATCTTGTCGTCCGCGTTGCGTCGAACGAAACGGAACATGGCGTTGGAAATGGCGACCACGGGAGAAAATAAACGGAGGGAATACTCACTGGAATATAAAATAAACATTATCAGAAAAAAAAATACCTAATACAATTATAAACAGACGATAGATATAATTAATATATAAAATATATTTTTTTTCCGTATTTATAATAATCTGCCATTAATTATGATTAAAATATAACTAATGTAAGTTATAATTTATAATTGTTGAATGAAAGAATATATTGTTTAATTAATTTTATAGTTAATTTATATATCATAAATATCATTAGTAAAGCGTTTCAAAACTTCTTTTTTGTTTATATTACTATCCATATATTTTTTAACTGTATTCTTTTAACTTTTTAATAGTAAAATATCGTAAATAAAAATGTTTACCTCCCAGTTACTGGAGTAGCTTCATTTCCGCTCAGAATGAAGACTGGAAAGAATATTGAAAATACGCAACCACTGAAAAAAGAAGTATACATTTTTTTAAATTTTCATTTATACCAAAAGACTGGAACAATGACTCAGTCATTTTCAATCTTTAAATCATATATTATATATAATAATTTATTTCACAAGTTGAATAATGAGCAATTAGTATTTCATCTTTTGATAAATTATAATTGATAACAAATTTATACATAATTATCCGAGCAAACAGATAACAAATAGTTCAAAGTACATATTTTATCAGTTCCACTAACAATGAAATATATTTAAAACTATAACACATCAAGGACACGGAATTAAAAAAAATATATCTTATATATATTTTTTATATTATCAGCACATTTTATATGAATATAATAAAGTTATTTGACTGAGAAACATCTGTAGATCAAAATTTTATTAATTATTGGGTAAACTATATACACAATATATGCTTAATATGTTATTATTTAATGATTTCAATAAAAACATACCTTATTATATATGACTGTGGTATTTGAGTTAGGACGGCCAGCGGTAAACCGAATCCAAGGAAATACGGCCAATTGGTTTCAATGAATGTAAGCCGCTTGTGTAACTCCCAACCCATGTTGAACCACTTGTACTCAAACGAGTACAGCGAGTACAATAGGCACATGTGTATAAGACATAATAACTCTCCGATGTATGTTATGGGTAACATACTGACTAGCATACTCTGAAATATATATATATATTTATAAATAAAATAATTAGTTGTATAACAGTAATGCAATAAATTGTACTCTATGTATTACTAAATTAATATGAAACATTGTTATGATGATTTAAAAGATTTTTTTCATGATCCAAAAAAGTAAAATACTCTTAGCAAAAGTTAGATATTTGAAACCCTTAAGATATCATTTTTTTGAAAAAAACTAAGTGTTGTAAGGATTGATAATGAATCTCATAAATAATACATTTGTAACATAAGATTCGATGAAATATATAGTCATTTTCTGTGGAAGGTTAAGAAAAAGAAACTTAAATATAGAGTCGAAAATAATTATTGAAAACTAAGTGTAAAAATGATAGTATAGTTTACATTCAATATTACCTGGACTAAAAACAAAGCTTGCACCAATAAACTGAACAATGAGTCGGCTATGATCTTACTGACACTCGACATGAACTGAGGCCGGCCTCGACGATGACGATATGCAGAGTCTGCTATGTCCTATTATTTAAAACGTGATTATATTATAACACATATAACATAATATAATAATTATATATGACAAAATGAAAAAATTTTAATAAGTTTAAATTAAAGTTACATAAAAACAAATTAAATGTAAATTTAAGTGTTTTTGTAATATTAAAACAATTATTTTTCACTAAAGTATAATATATGGATGTATAAAAATTAAAAAGAAAGTTTTTAAGAAATTTAAACTGTCTGTTGTTTATTAGAGCTAATATTTTAAATGTCTGATTTAATTCATATGTTAACTTCACTGGCAAACGGCTGTTGAATTAAGAATAATTTAGTCTTCTTTTATACATTACTACAAATAGATATTTATTCTGTATAGGCAAAACTAGTTATTAACAAAATAAATTTTAACTGACCTGGAACCATAGACTATTCACAAGCTTGCTCAATAAGAACAAAGGTAGGACCCATATCATCCGAAAAGTCATTGAAAGAAACGGTTGCATCCATCCCCAAATATTATGAGCTACCCCAGGATTATGACCAAACACCAGTGTCACCAGATACTTGACACTCGGCAACAGAGCATATTCAAATATAAGAATACTTAACAAAAATATAAACCCATTCAGGATACATGATTGTAAAACCCTTGTAAGTACTTTAGATTCCCTGAAAACAAATGAAATTTAAATTTTTATTGATTTATTTGATAAAAAGATGTTCTATTTCCCGCTCATTGAATATTATAGTATTGCTTACTGTTTAATTTTTGTTTGTTTAACTTTTTGTTTACTATTGTCCGTGTCAATTTGTGGGGAACGACTTAGAGCGCGTTCGTTTATTTCTTTATCCAAATATAGCAAGACAGTTATACCACGCAAGCTGTCGATGAAACCTTTGATAAGCGATATAGAAAAATTCTGGAACAAAGAATAACAACATCTGTTTACTTAAAATATACCACACAGCAAAGAAAGAGAAACGATTCGTTTTACTTACTGTAACGCTTTCCATTTTGAATATTAATGTTTTTATTGCTTCATTATAACTATATAATAAAATTATTTTTCACATTCTTGTTGTTAGTTTATTTGACGTATTAATGAAAAATTTAACTTTGAACAAATCACCTTGTTTTCAAGTTATGACATAAGAGCTGTCATAATATATTTTTTTATTATTATTTCCTGCTTTAGCTGAGAGTATTTTGAGTTATAGTAATAAAAAATCGTAGTATAATTCAAAACCTCTACTTTTCATGAACTTTAATTTCATTTCGAGTTTTAAATATTTATATTTTATTAAATATATAACAGTTTGTAACAAAAATAAAGAAATTTGTATTGGTTTAAATGTTAACTGAAAGAATTATATAAAATTATAGGAAATTATTCAAGACCTGGTATGAAATAAAATTTTATCAGAACTTTATTTACCTAATTCACACATTTAAACAGTCTTACATTTATAAGATATAAAAATTTAATAACAAAATAACTAATCTGACAGAATATGTCAGTCGTCAAGAGTTTATTGACATTAAGAGTTGAAACTCGAAAGTGTTTTTAGTTTTGAGTGTTGATAGATTAGTTCGTGCTTTGTTTACTAGAATTAGTTTAAGGAAATATTGAATTTTATACTGTTTTATAAGTGTTATGTGAATTAAATTTGAAAAATGGATAGCAAGTTTCTTCTCAGCAACATAGGGTAAATAGTGAAACTTCATTATTGCAATATGCGACGTAGCCATATTCGCGTGACCTGTTTTTCTCGATTTCCTTATATTTATAAAAGTTTTGCAACTTGGATTCTAGTTTCGGCATAAGATTACATGTATGGAAAATTTCTTGATAGTTAAAACCTATAATGCATTAGTCATGTAAAATTAGAAAGTTTTTCTAAATTATAATTTAAAAAGCCCCTACTCGGTTTCTATGGGCCATATTAGTTTAAAGAACATTTTTATCGTATAATTACAATTATTTAAATCCCATACTCCGAGCCGCTTGGCTAATGTCAAGAAACTGGTTAGTTGTTGAAAACAGGTTTACTAAAACAAGCTTTACTCAAGTAATTTAGTATTTTTCGCCTTCCTGACTCGGAAGTTATAAAACATTATTTTATTTATATATTTTCTTCCGTTTAATTAAATATGGTATGGATTTGCCAATTCAGGATTGTAATAAATAATATGTGTGACCTCAAAATAAATGGCGTTTATTGCCATGTCTTAAGATAGTAAAGCTTATGTTTTAAATCAGCCTTTTCCAAAGTAATAATGCCCCTTTGTGGTCACTGCAGGCTTAACTGTGGTGAGAGACCAGAAGTAGAACCCCCCCAGGGTTGTGTAGAAGACTGGGATTTGATTTGTTATTTATTTATTTATTTAAAGGTACATCAACGTCACAGTTATTTAACACACATAAACAAACATATAAAATTGATAAATCTAGGACCTGATAAGAGTGACAATTAGAGACGTACACAACATTCACAAAAAGAAAAAAATAAAACTTATTGTCTACCTTATAATAAAATAACAATATACAAAACTACAAGAAAAAGTATAAATCATTAAAAAAAAAAAAAACTATACTATAACTACAAAAAAAAAAAAACTATAAATCATTAAAATAAAAACATGTGACAAAATGTGATTAACTATGTGACAAACTATGGTGTTATTTGGTGGATTTTGTTTTTAAATTTGTTATTTCATTTAACTATGAAAAGTTATAGTGGTTTTTCAGTAGGTGAAATAAGAGGGCTTTTAAAAAATAATAAATGCTCAGTTGACGGTAGACCAAATTAGTTTGTTAACCCCTGGTTTTAAATAATTTTGCATTATTACTTTTAAATTTTATTTTATTACTAAATTCTTAATATGTTATTGTATCCTCTAAATTTAATAGGTTTTGAAAGTCCAGCAATAATTGCAATTGTCTGATAAATCAACTGATATTACAAAATCATTTTCAAACTACATAGTGGTTCTCTGTTAATCACAAGTCTGTATTGTAAGACTAAAAGTAAAAGTATTTAGATTTTAAGTCATCTATATTTAAACATGTTAGTATCACATGAGTATATAAATGGATAATTCAGAACTGCCTGTGTTTAACTTGTCTGAATAAACTTGCGACTAGGTTACGGACCTACAGTCACAATTATTATTTATTATACATCTTTAGTCTTTAAAGATAGCGTATCTGACAAATTGTGTTTGTCAATATACTTTTTACTAAATGTCCCTGATACTAAGTAAAAAATAATATTATAAAGGCTGCATCAATTAATCATGAATTTCAATTAACAACAAACCTTTCACTTTACAGGAAGTAGTGTAAAAGTAATTTTTCTAATGTCATGGTTATATGTTGATATTTAATGTAATTGTTAAGGGCAAAAATTCAATTAAAAATGACAACAATTAAGGGACCCTGATTGAGTTGAAACACATCCGCTGCGCAAGCGCAAAGTTCAAAACTACATGCGCGCCCCCCCCCTCCTGCTTCGCTATCCGATAATCACCACTGACTACATTCAGACATCAGTGTGTGCGCGGGAGTGTTGCACGGCGGACGTGTTCCAACATCACATTAAATCCTTTGTGACGTAAATGATTTTGATTACGAGCTAAATATCGCAAAAGCATTGTGCAAAAATGAAAGTGGACAAAGAATTATGTGTTTCCGAGGAGGCTAAGCCTATGATATCCGACAGGAAGGGCAGTTTGAAGGTGACGATCACTCCCGCCCAGCACAAGACCCTAACTCACCTTCCGAAAAGGCCGCCAGTGGATCTTGCATTCACAGACCTCACATACAAAGTACAGGAAGGCAGGAAAAGCAGTGAGTATACGAAAAAAACCTACATTAATAATTATAAGTACATAATAAATTTTGTACCTAGCCTCAATGACCTTATTATCGAATATTATTTGACTTGTAGGTAATATAATCAAGCAGTGATTTTGCATTACACGTTTTATTTAATAAACAATGTGATCCTTTGTTCGTTGTATTAGTACATATTCATATTATTATCAACTTAATTGTCAGCCTTTGTCGTAATGCAGTTGAATTCTGTTGCAATGATCCCTAATTGAGGTCCAATTCAATTATGAAATGGAATATTATTTTATTGAATACATAATTCCTACAGATAAGATATTAAACGGACATGTTATCGTCAGCTCGGTAATTAATAATGAAACATCGATTACTACACATCAATAAGTTATTAGCAAATTGAAAGAATTAAATCCAATTCTTGAAGTATTTATAAAATATATTTTACTATACATTTTAAGCTGTGACGTTCATATCAAGGACTCCCATCGATTTCCTTGTTAAAACTTAACTCTTATAATGGATATTGATTTTATACTTGTGAATATTTTTATGGATGATATTTTAAAAGCATTAAATATTTGGTTCAATATGTTAAAAGATATCAAAATTTAATTACAAAACATTAATAATTCGTTTTATTTGAGATCGTATTTTAATATACAGTTATTTGTTTGTATACTTTTGTTCTGATCACTCACAAGTCACGCAGACGTTAAATAAAAACAAAATGTAATGATTACATGTAAAATAATGCGTGTGCTGTTTACTTATATTATAATTTTTATATTATTTACATACGCTTTGTGTATGTTTGGATTTTTCTGTACACTTTTGATTATATTCACATCAAAATGACAAATAACAGAAATTGGCGTCATTTTAAATCGCCATCTTAGTATTTTGACAGCAGTTTTTTGCAATGAAATTGCTTTGTCTTTTAACAATGGCGGCGGAATTAAAGAAAAAAATATTTAATAATTTCATATGATTGCGTTAATATATAGCTACAATTTTAATGATCCGTTTGATATATGAGCTGTGTTTATGTAATTAATTTACAAGGAAATACGTTATTTGCCGCTGTTGATGTATAATTGTTGATAAACTAATTTATTCTGTAGGACTAAAAGATAGATAAAACTAATTGTAAGAAATATGTGTGAGTTACAAATGCAGGATTGTTTTACGGACTTAAAGACATTTAATTGGCATTCAGGTTGCTAACGATGTTTTTGTATATGTATAATATCTCATTATAGGTATTTAAAGAAAAGTTTTTGCAGTTAAGGAAACAAGTAAAGAATTTATGAGTTATTTGTAAGGGAAATCCAGTTTTGTATGTTGAGCTTAATTACCAGATACTCCATACATAGGGTTGGATATTAATAAATCTATTTAAATCACTTCATCATAAAATTGTTGATTTATCATAATAATAGTAATAATATGATAATTATTCTGAATAAATGAATTGGAAGTATTGCTAGTTATAATTCATATTTTACATAAGCATGTGCTGTTGGGAACTAAGATATATTGTTTTTTAGAACTTATTTTAAATAATTTTAATATTTTTTTAATATTAAATTTGTATATACATGATTGACATACTGTCATTCATGAACAAACACAAAAGACAGATCCTTCACATTATTTGTAGGGTCAAGAACCTTATATTCGGGTATGTTTTTGTTCAAGAAAAAAATATTTAAAATAAATATACATATTTAAATGTACTTTTTTCATTTAAAATGTCACAAGAGAAGGTATAGGAAGTTGGTTAATTTCAATATTATTGAATTTTGTTGATAAATAGTTGTATGTCTTGTTTATTATATTTTTTATGATTCTGCTTCCTAGTATACTTTTTTCAGTTATTGGTAAAATATTTAAGTAAAATACCTTATTATTAACTGATATTGTATTAAACATAGGTAAATGAATTTAATAGAGTGGAACTATAGAAAAATTTCAATAGGTAATTTGGATTAACTTACTTTTTCCCGCTATAAGTTTCAAATCACCTGTCATGAAAATATGACAGATTATTAATTAACAGATTAAATATATAAATAAGTAACTGCATTAAATATACAATTCCAATGTCCATTCAAAAAGTTGTATGAAGATGTATACAATAACAATTTTCAATTAAATATATGCATAAATATTTCAACATAAGTAAATAAATGCATATAACTTTAATTTTACAGTATATAACTTTGAAGTAATTGTTTTTCAATACTTTTGATATACCGAATAAATGGAAATATTTGTCACAAAATGAATTTTTATAACGAAATTCGGATAAATAATATAGAATGAAAGACGTTGTATCTGAAATTAAGACTTCCGGGATATCGCGTCCCGGCCGTTTTACCAATTAAGGGATCGTGTGTCGACTCGACTCTCGTTATACGCATTATATGTATTTTATTCGTCAATTTTATTTCTATGAATTTTGATGCTAAAACCTATATAAACACTGTATATAAAAATTTTAAAGAATTAATAATTTAATTTTGTGATATATCTCAGGTTTATGATCGTAAAATAATGCAATTTGATTTCTGGTCAAAATTAATGTTTCAATAATAATTAAAATTATATTATATGTTTTTATGTTATCTCCTTTTATGTCATTGAATTACACGGCTTGTATTTTTTTTATATATATTTTGCTTCCTATATACTAGATAACATTTAAATGGATAAACAAGTTTTATATAAAAAACTAGTGATATAATATATATATTTTACTATTTTATTTATCGTAGGTATATTAATGTTACTTACATATTTAAAATCACTTGTTAGATTCCTTAGTAATTCCTAATTATTCTTAATTCTTAGTATAATTAGTGATTATATTTATCAGGACGGTTCTTTGTAGTGACTTTTTATTCTACCCTCAATACTATGCTACCTACATGAGTTCGATCTATAGATAGTGAATTTGGTTATTTTTTATACTTATACTTATCCAGGTTTGGTTTAAAGAAGAATTCTAAGACATATGACTCATCAAAATAATTTTATACTAAAAAAATTACATGTTTTACATTATTAGAACAAAGTCGCGAACCCTGAAATTGGATAAAAAATACGTTTCCTTTCTTTACGAATATATCTAATAGCTATTCTTCTGATGAAACATGTTTAACGTTAATGAGACATTGCACGGCAGTAATAGTCTTATGTGAAGAAACTTTCAGTAACTCGATGTTGCTAACAACGAAATATACAAGGCGTCGAAAATATAGGTCGTTGACCCCTATCCTGCAAACGTATTTTGAAATATGAAGTATGTATTTTAATGCTTTATTTGTTGATACCACTATAACAATATTAAGACGAAAATTTTGGAGTCAACCTGAGCTTACCACGTGTTCTCATTGTAACACTAAATATGAAGTTTTTCAAGTTTTTTGATATTTTTCTGTTGCGTACTTATAAGGCGTACTTATCGACAAAGTTTTCGTAATTTACCATATTGTCCACTTTCAACTTTCTATTCGTTTATCGTACACATAACATTACAAAATCCTTGTAGTTCTAAATAGTTTAAGTGAATGGTAATTTGATGAAATTGAAATTATTACTAATCATTACGAATACTCAAGACTCAGTTTTAGCTGACGTGTTGAAGTTATTAGTATCGTGTTGCAGTTCAAAGTACTAACATGTATCGGTGTTATTTTACACTTAGTAGGATATTAGTCGACTTCAAATTATAAACAATAGCAATAAAACTTCATATTAAGTATTAATTTATCGTTCTTTGTACAGTTACATTGTACTATAATTAATTTTTAATTATTTTCATTATGATTGTTTTAATTATAATGGGTTATTAAACACTATAAAAAATAATTATTATTACAAATTAAATGAAACTAATATTTTTCGTGATCACGCTTGCTGTAAAGTAACCGAAACGTCGGGAGTATGTAGTTTATATTCAAAAATAAAAATCTCGAAGTAAATCCGAAAATATAAGTTTCATTTAAATGAATACTCGAAAAAATCTCAGATCTAATTATTACAAATAAAAATATTTACAGTGTTTAAATTTCTCTAAACTCAACGTGTCCTTTCACGAAGCAACACAAAAACCGACTTACATTGTGTAGAAAACAAAAATGAAAAGTTAAAATAACTTTCACTACTTACTGACTAGCTTCGGAGTGTGAATGTGTGTTTGTGGTTCGTTCGCAAAAACTGCTGAACCGATTTTAATGTAATTTAAAATATAGGTTAGGCGAATAAAAAAATAGTCCTATTATTTACAATCGTATTTATAGTCAGAATTAAATTAATTGTGATGATTTTATATAAGATTATTTCAATTAATCTATTATAATTAAAAGACCTGTCTTGTTACGGTAATTATCGTAAAACAGGTTGGCGTTTGAGGAAAAAATATGCTCCATCGTCATTGAGATCACTGACTGACCAATTAAAAAACAAATTAAAATAAAATACATCTCCTTTGAAGTAAATATTTCAATATTCTACTATACTTGATACTTGTAAATAAATTAATATTTTTATTTCATGGTATTAAAAACTTTTTTGTTAAAGTATCTGTAGTACAGTCTGAAGTACAGAACAGTACAGTACTGAAGTACAGTCATAGTCAAAATAAATTCGACTTATATAACATTATAGCTCAATCACTGTTTCTTAATTTTTAACAACCTGACAAATATCTGATAATCCTTTTTGTAACTGACCTCTAAATTATTATTATCTTTGATAACGGAAATTAAATCCTTGAGTATGTTTTATCAGACGTACCGACGGACCAATGCAACGAGGTTATATAAAATATGTTATCAAAATATTTAATGATTTAAATCTTCACTCTCATCACTTTAGGTTGGTATTACAGCCAATGATTTTCTTTTTGTATAATGTTGGTACAATTGTTTTTTAATGTATTTCAAGGATGATAGATATATTAATTTTTATCTAATTCGGAATTTTATAAGGTTAAATATTGCATTTGATTACAATGTATGTCATTTGAAATGAATCGGTATAAAAGATAATGGTGGTCGAGTGACGTCATTATAAAATAAAAATGGCGGACTATTATATAGTTATTTAGGCAACAGTTTAAAGAAATCAAATATAAATAGTTATTTATATGCAATTAAACAGTAAGAATGAAATTTATGATATAATTTGATTGAGAAAATCTCTATTAAAATTCTAAAAACAAATGCTTAGATAAAATATAAACCATACTAGCTTTCCGCCCGCAGCTTCGCCGCGTGGAGTTCGGTTATATCGCGTTTCCAAGAGAACCTTTCAAAAGTCTGGGATAAAAACTATCCTATGTTCTTTCTCAAGGTCAACTCTATCTCTGTACCGAATTTCATTAAAATCAGTTCAGTGGTTTAGGCGTGAAAGCGTAGCAGACAGACAGACAGACAGACAGACAGAGTTACTTTCGCATTTATAATATTAGTAGGGATTAAATTACATTTCATACTGTACTATAAAACCGGTAAATTTAATCGTGACATAATATTTATTAAAAAAAACCGGACAAATGCAAGTCTGATAAATATTCATTGGATGCCATTATATTTTATTAAAAAAATGAATCTAATGTTTTGACATTAAGAAAAAACTTTTAGATTGACTTAAATGTCCTTGAAAAACTGACATTTAATTATATGGATTGTTTAGGGTTGGTAACTAATTGATAATGACTCGGAATGATCTCGGAATTTCTAAGTACATATGTAATACTTTAAGATATAAAACTTCCTAAGTATAAATTCATTTAAATAAACATTTTCATATCGTCTGCCCGTGATCACGGTTGCCGCAAAGTAACCGAAATGTCGGGAGTATTGTGTTAAAAATAACAAAAACAAAATGTACATTCGAAAATATTACTTTAATTTCAATGTAAGACGTTGCTACCTGATATATAATATATATGCATATATTTATATTGTGTTATATTCGCCATGTATTAAATGAATACATTTTGAATTTGGCTGTTATTTTAATACTACAAAGAAAAACCTATTTTAATTTGAATAAATTAATTTCAAATTTAACTGATCGCATTCCCGAGAATAATTTACCAATTGCGGATTGAGGATTCCTGTGTAGTTATTTGTAAACACGGTAAAGATTTTAAACTTATATCAAAGAAATATGGGTAGAATTCTCGAGAAACCTTCATATCATATAAATCTTGGAATCTATTAAATTTTCCTACTAACCTTATTTAATTTTATAGCGACGAAAACGAAGGTAAAAACACGTTGGACATTAATTAATAATAAATACAATATTAATGATCATAAAATTTATAATTACTTTTTTCATTCATAAATTTTTGTATTTAAAATTTAATTTTTTTACAAATAAGACTCAATAAAAACATATTAACTTGCAAATATATAAAAAATATTGTTCTGTAGGAAAGCAACATTAAGAACTCTGTGCTCTAATCACAATTTGCTTTTGCGAACTAAATAATTATCTTTTAGTACTTTTCATTCATGGATTCTTCTCAATTAGAAACTGATAACAGCCCGTATGTAATTTGTAGTCATCTGCTCTGTGTATTTCTTTCTTCTAATTCCAAGTCTATCAATGAATTATAAATTCAATATAAGATATTTTCATTCTCATACATATTGGGTGATAAAAATAGAAGATCGTAATCAAATGCTTCGACTGCAAGGTTCTATTCATCATTCAGGAGTTTTCTAAGACTTCTTGACCAACTAATATATGAGCGAAAACGCCAAAAACAGTGTTCATCTGGAATAAAAGAGAATAAAACTAATTTAGCATTTATATTGGAACATATTTCTTTATAACCAGTGACACTATAAAAGCCTAAGGGCTGACAGCAATGCTTCCTTTAAAATATATGTGTAATGACGTGAATATTTGAATTCTATAAGACTATATCGTATACTTGTCTTCCAGATGTGAAAACTATCCTCAAGTCAGTCTCTGGGAGACTTCGATCTGGCGAGCTAACGGCTATCATGGGTCCATCAGGCGCTGGGAAATCAACACTACTCAATATATTGACTGGCTACAAGTAAGTATAAAATTAAAATAACACTCATTAACACTAGATTAATTGCACTGGGGTATTTAAATTTGATCTTGATTAACATCATCAGCATATCAGAGCCCACTGCTGAGCAAAAGCCTCTTCTCACATGGAGAAGGTTTGAGCATTAATCACCACGCTTGCTCAAGACGGGTTGGTGATATCAAACTTATAATTGTGAAACTATAAGTCCAGGTTTCCTCACGATGTTTTCCTTAACCGTATGTATATCTTGATTAACGCGTGACAATAATCTTTGCAAGTTTTCTCTGACACTGCTTTAAATTGGTGTAAGAAAGTCGATCAAGTATGCCAAATAAAAAGTTCCTACATTAAACTCATATAAACAGGTATACCAAACACATAAGTACTTTCAGAGCTCTTTGCTCTAGAAGTTTCTGTGACCATCATCATCCATAAAATAATAAAATCTAAGACTTTCGCGAGTATTCATTTAAATGAAACTAATATTTTCTTATTACGTCTGTTTTTAATATTTTAAAAACTACATACTCCCGACGTTTCGGTTACTTTTCAGCAACCGTTATCACGGGCAGGCGAGCTGTGACTCTGCCCGTGCATGTAGTTTAATCATTCTGGAAAATTTAAAATAGATAATATTTTTAACACATTTGTTTGTAAATTAAAATCTATCCTCTTTGGCATTAATATGAAAAATCTTCTCATATGCTTTATAGATCTTATAATATTATTATATGTTAATTGCATTTTCCCATGACAAAAAACACGAGTTTCACGATTTATGTAAAAAAATAATCACTTAATTATATATTTTTTGCTTATTTCTCGATCCAAGGTAACAGACACGCTTGGATATTTCATAGCGCGTCCCACAAATTACATCTGACAAAAATTATGAAATAATACGCGTTTTCCGGACTGAGATTACTTTTATTTGTATTGTGTATATATATGATGATACAGAGATATAATGAATTGAACCAAGTTTTCCGGATACCACGCGTTTTTTTAAATTTTATATCTACATGATCTCGAAAAACCGGTAATGGAAATGAAATTTGTGGATAATGTCACACAAAACATCTCATTATTCCATGTATTCACCGTATTGGTGCGGGTCTATCATTGCAGTGAGAGGAGCTTCAACAGTGACTGGGACTTGCGACCCAGGTGTAGGTTTAAGGGTCTCTATCTAACGAGCGTTAAACGCTTACCTCCACTGTCCAAGCTCCTCTCTCTACCTAACAAATAATAAACGCGTAGTTATTTAATGAGTACATTCAAAGAACTTACGTTATCTTCAATATATATAGAAATATTCTAAATTATCCTCAGAAATTATACCATGTATACACGAATATTTTAGGCTTTAAACACACTAGCAAAAACTTTGTTTGAATTATTTTATTCGCGTGTAAGTGAGAATCATCTGTGTCACTCAGTTTTAGCGTCGTGTCCACAATGTTTATTTAACTTTCACTTTGCCAAGGAGTCTTATTACTTTAAATATGTTATATGAAGTTCCAAATATATATATATATATAGTATGACGTCACGAATTTCACTGGAATTTAGCTGTTAACATTTTATTTTAACAAAACTGGTTCACTTCATTTATGTATATACATTTATTTATGACACATTATTTTAAATTTATTACGGTAATATGACCAGGGAGGACGATTCTGTTGAGATTATTATTTATACTATTCAAAATATATGTTTTATTCATATACTTCTTCTACCTGGCAATTTCCCAGCTTTAGCCAGGGTCTGCCTTACATGTTGTGAATAGTTTTGGCTTTTTGTTTTTACGACCGGCCGCCTGCCTGACATCAACCCTCTTTGGGAATGCATTAATCAGTTATGTCTAAATACTCTTACTCAAGGTTTTTCGCATATACTACAACGACATTTTCCTGAAATTTTGGTTATAGTCCCCTTATAGTCACATTTGAGATAAAAACGTGTTTAAATGTGTACTCACAAGTCTTAGGCATCATTAATTTATAAATTTTTGGATAACATATAAAAACATATATTGTTCAAAATTACATATTTCTCTCTTACTGGAAGTGTCTTTCTAGAAATTTTTCTTCTAACTACTACAACTAATACATATATAAAGTTATGGCATGTGGTTCATTAAGCAATACATTTATGTAACCGGCACACGGCTCAGTTACATAGAACAGAAAAAAAAATACATAATCTCATGTATTAGGACAGTATTATTGTGTAACATACAAAATAACTGATTTATAATGGAAAAGCAAATCGAAGTTCTACATATATTGGAAAGAGAATATTTGATTATATCTTAATATTGCTACAAGATAGTATACAGACGAAAACGTAGTATGTAACTAGTGATTTAATGGTACCAAAATTTGTATCTGATTTGTATGGAAATAGAAAAAAATAGCAACAGAATAGTGTTTAACGTTTAGTGCATAATATAATATATCTTGTAAGTCATCGCTTCCTTCGCGTTCTTAGTTTTGCAATACACTGACAAAACTTCGCAATATTTGTAAACAGTTACCACAGCTCACTTAGAAAAAAAACATCCTTGACGTCATACAATCAAGCGCTTTCAGCGCTAACATTAAGCGGATATATTATTTCCAAGTATACGAGATGTTTACCGATTCTTTGTTATCAAGTAGCTAATTGGGTCAATCGGTTAATTTGAGTCTGAACGCCCCGTAATAGATGTCCGCAAGAATCTTATTATTTTTATATTTTTTATCTTAATTACGCTTTTAATTAAAGAATTAAATAATAACAGATTTTTATGCATTAAGGATGATTTTCCGCTGGTTTTTGTAAACGGTGTTAAATGATGACGTAGTCTAAACCAAAGTTTGTATCGTCAATGAATAGTTTTTTTTTTTTGAAGTGAAACTTCTCATGCGACTTTGAACAAGGTTGCGTTAAACGTTTTACGCTTTAGGGTGATTAGGGGGTACCGTACGGTCTCCTGGGCCGCAGCGACTGCCCTTGCCGGCGATCCGCCTTGGGATCTCGTGGCGTCGGTTCGAGCCGAGTTGTTCTCCTATGTCTCGGGTAGGAGGGCACTCGGCGAGAACCCTTCGTCGGAGGAGATCCGAGCGGTTCGTCGGCAGGGGGAGGAGCGCCTTATGCGGGAGTGGGGGGAGGACCTGGCGGAGCAGCCGTACGGTAGACGTACAACGGCAGCGCTTCGCCCGGTCCTAGAGCGTTGGATGAGGCGGAAACGCAAACCCCTCACTTTCCGTCTGACGCAGGTCTTAACCGGGCACGGGTGCTTTGGTTACTACCTGTGTCGGACGGCCAGGAGAGAGCCGGGAGAAGGCTGCCATGAGTGCGGCGCTGCGGTGGACTCGGCCCAGCACACCCTCGAGGTGTGCCCGAGATGGGCTGCGCAGCGCCAAGACCTTGTGGCGGCTCTCGGCGGAGTGGACCTGTCGCTTTCGAGTGTCGTGGAGAAGATGCTCGAGAGTGATGGGTCCTGGTTGGCGGTGTCCTCCTTCTGTGAGACGGTCATGTCCACGAAGGAGGCATCTCAGCGGGAAAGGGAGAGGGCGGCTGATGCTCCCTCCCCCCGCAGGCGACGTACGGGGGTGCGACGGAGGCAATTCCTACGCCTCCAATAGCACCCCTGTGTTCCGGGCTGGGGTCGGCGTGGTAACCCGGCCCTTTTGAAAGCCCGGCGTCGTCGGGGTGGTCCTAATTGCCGGGATCGCCCCCATGCTCCGAGGGAGTAAGTCCGGTCTTTGCCAGGACCGGCCAGTCGCTGGTGTGCCCTGTCGCTGACAGATCCGGGGTACACCGACATAGCGGCCGATGGCTTTCGCAGTGGTTTTAGTGAGTAGGGGCCTGCCCAGGCCGAGCCTCACACATCCCTTCCGGCCCCACCAAGGTCGGTTGGACGGCTCGTAAAAAGAGTTTCCACTACGTCATCAAAAAAAAAAAAAAAAAAAAAACGTTTTACGCTTTGGGGGAGGGGGTTAGAGCGAGAGAGAATGCGTGGCGCTAGAACGCACGCGGGCAATGAATTATGACTTGTAGGTAATGTTAATAAAGTTTGTATTAAAAAAACACTAAAAGTTCTTTAAGAATCATTTTCTACTTATTCCTGTTTTCAATCCAACGCGTGCAACGTTACGAAGATTCGCATCTTTCGCGTGAAAGGTACTCCACCAACAATAATAGTTTTTATTTTGTTATAAATCTTCATACATAGTATTATAGATATAGGAATGAAATACTGAAAAACTATCTGTATTTAGTTTTTTGGACAGGTGGTTATTTCTTTTTCCGTTTGCTGTTGTAAAATACAATATTATTTATTATTTGCAAACAAGTTCAAAGAATACGAGGTCATGTCTAATAAATATTATTTGTGTTATTTTATTAGCCCTTTATGTATTTTTATAATTTGTAGTTGCATTTCAAATTTTGTGTTTGAATAGGATCTAAATCTTCACAACCATATCCCGTTGTTAAGTATATTACACGTTTGAGTCGAATTAATAGGTTCTCGTTAATAAATGACAAATAGGAAACGTTTTGGTGTAGTGTGAAAAAATATACGTTATAAAGGCTATACATACTTAATCCGCTAGTTATAAAAAATTATAAGAGACATAAATTTTTAAAACATCCTAAATACTGTGTATATGCATATATCAAATGAATTGAGAGTGGAATTGAAATTTTGACGTCACTTTATAAAAAAATTATAGTCTTTATACTATTTAATATAGATCGCGTTTTTATTAATAATAATCTTAAGTATTATGTTACTATATTTTCTATGAATGACCTCTGAAACCACAATATCATGACCTATTTCAATATCATTTTAGAAGAGTCTTGGTTTAGCTCACTATCGGTAAACGGAGTTAATTTTTTACCTTAGGTTTGGTAGTCTGAGAAATCGTATCCGGCATCACTAAACCTATCGTATCCGATACCTCTATATACCGTATACGGTGACTTAAATCTCAAAATACTGCTGTTGCAAGTTTACTTAAAACGTGACCTTATTCGACCTCGGTGTATTTTTGTAGCTCTATAACAAATCTAGATTATGATAATTTAATTTAGTCTATATAATAATGATATAAAATTATAGTTTATAATCACACCAAATGTTTGTTTATTGGTTCTTTTATATATAATATGTCACAATAATAAAAGCGTTTTCAAGTAATTTATATTAATATTTAAAGAGATCTATGCAGTAAGTTCTGTATTTATTACGGACTTTAGAGGTTACTTATATACATATTAAATCAATTATTGATATGGAAGATACAGGTATATCTAAATTACCTCGGTCCGCGATATTTTTCCGGCTTTTTAAATTTATATTACTTAACAAGAAATTCTGAAGATTATTGTAATTAAATTTCATTCAAGTTACAAAAAAATCTTTATATAAGTCATTCATAGTAATAGTGTCCATAAATTAATTAATAAATAGCAATTTATGTGTACTGTAACTTTCCATATCAGATATGAAAGTATGAAGTTTTTGTTAATATAAAAGAAGAATAAATAATTAAATATTTGACAAATGATAAAGAAATGATAACAACAGAATGTTTTTTATACAAATATGAAACTAGAAACATTCAAGGCTAAAATTAAATGTATAAGTAGTAATAAATTGTGTAGTTTGAATAAAATCTAACGATAAGACAAATTAAAACCGACGAAAACAAAAAAAAATAAATGAATTAATATAAAATCTGACGAAGGCCTTTTACTCAAAATAAGGTACATACCTCTATATTTAGTAAGGCTAGATATTTTGTATAGCTTAGCTATTAGCGAACCTAGCAGTTGTATTTATTACGTGAACTAGACTATAGAAGTGATTGCTAGTAAATTAATTATCGGATCCGTAAAATTGTTTGAACACACCAAATTTCCCCCGAAGTGAGCGCAGAGGAAGTCGCGGGCAAAAGCTATGTACTCTATAAATCACGAATCACGATGATGCAATTCCCTAGTTACAAGAGGAAAGCTAATATGTTATATGGTAATATTATCTGATAACTTCTTGCAGCAATAAGTTAACGTGAAAGTAAGCTTAGGTTTTTGTCCTTCGATATGTTTTGTAAGCTGTTATTAAATTGTGAGAACATTGAAAACAATTTAACCAGTTCATCTTATAAAGTGAAGTTTATTCCCAAAGAGGGTTGATGTCTGGCAGGCGGCCGGTAAAAACAATTAGCTAAATTTATTCACAACATGTAAGGCAGACCCTGGCTAATGCTGGGAAATTGCCAGGAAGAAGAAGATCTCACAGTGAAGTGTCCTTGATGTTTGTTAACTTAAACAAAAAAATAGTATGCTATATTAATCGAATTATTTTTGTAAATATTTATGTTCTATCTGCTACTATTGTGACTGTTTGGATGATTAACTTTTGCTATATAATCAACTCATTGGCGTCACTGAAATTTACGTACGTACGTACGTTTTAAGGTCGTGCAGAAACAGGTTTTGTGGTTCTGCTCATTATAATGAACAAGACGAGAAAGTCTTTATCTGTGTGTATATAATTTATCTTTACTAACTAAACACTAATATGGGTCAATGACAGTACGTCAAATAAATTGCAGATAATACAGCAATCATCACTGTTAACAATTTATTATTTTGTAAGAAAATTTTCTATCTTCTTTTGTTATTTATGTAAGTATCTGAGTAGCTTTATTATTGTTTATCAGGACTTCTGGAATGGAGGGTAGTATCACGGTGAATGGGATGGAGCGTAATCTGTCTAGCTTCCGAAAACTGTCGTGCTACATCATGCAGGATAACCAGTTGCATGGAAATCTTACTGTTGAAGAGGCGATGGCTGTGGCTACAGCTCTCAAGCTGCCTAGCGCTACCACCAGGGCTGACAAGGAGGAAGTGGTAGGTCCAACTGTATTATTACCACCCTTTAATTCAAAACTAAGCCCTCTAAATGAAACTAATATTTTTCTTATCACTACGCGACTTTATTTTTGTAAAACATTACATACTCCCGAAATGTCGGCTACTATTCAGCAACCGTGATTACGGGCAAACGAAATGTGAATGACTTCACTAAGCTGAAAAGCTTATGAATAAAAAATCTTATGAATTTACTAAGGTCTATCTCTGTTATCTATACAATATCAAAAATGATGTTCCAAATATTGCTCATGATAAACACAAAATGGTCCTAATTAGTAGCATGATTTTTAGCCATCCGTCTGTGTGTTTTTTATTAATACATAAATATTTTCAGATACAAGAAATTCTGGAAACTCTCGGTCTATCCGAGCATCATAAAACGATGACGTCAAATTTATCCGGGGGACAGAAAAAGCGATTATCGATAGCCCTAGAGCTGGTCAATAATCCTCCCATCATGTTCTTCGATGAGCCAACATCTGGTTTGGACAGTTCCTCGTGTTTCCAATGTATATCATTATTGAAAACCCTGGCAAGAGGTGGTAGGACAATCATCTGCACAATTCACCAACCTTCTGCCAGATTATTCGAAATGTTCGACCATCTATACACATTGGCGGACGGGCAATGCGTCTACCAAGGCTCAACTGGGAGATTAGGTGAGTCTGCGATATAAGTAAAAAACAAACCATTTAACGACTTTAGTTTTTTTGGCAAAACATTATATTGTGATTAATTTACATCATAATTGAGGAAAATACTCAAATTTTTGTATGACATAAAAAACCAAACGTGAATGAACTTGATGGCTACAATACGTTGTGGGATTAAAGAATTTATGACTAAAATTTAAATATTAAGATGAGGATTGCATTTTTTATCGGCGACCGAGGAGATTCTAAATTTTATTTTATTTTTTCATAACTTGAAAACCCTGGCAATATACATTATTCAATAATTTAATTTTATACCATGTTAACTGCTTGGATTAATATTTTTATACTTAATGAAAAAAATATGGACACGTTATTATAATTTGTTCAAAATCTTTATTTAGGTATGTTCAAGGTTAAAATGTTAAATTTAACGTGATTCTACATACAATAAAGTTTAGTTTGTTACTTTTATACGCATATAGATGGTTATGTTTTATTGGGTCTTCGTAATGAATAATGCCATTTATAATTCCTGACTTAACACTAAAACTTAATAATCGTAATATATCAAAACTTCTATATTTTAATTATAATATATTAAACTTTATTGCATTAGAATAAGAGCGTTTTTCCTATAGCCAGACATAAGAACCATATAAAATGTCAACACAGGAACAATTCTATAAAACTGAACATGCATTTGAAATTTAACCTTAATTATTAACACATAAAAGTCTATATTCACTTATTTCTCTTGAATTACAATCTTCTATATATATATAAAAATGGATTGCTGTTCCTTAGTCTCGCTAAAACTCGAGAACAGCTGAAAGGATTTATCTTATCTTAGTCTTGAAATGTTCGTGGAGGTTCAGGGAAGGTATAAAAGCTGAAAAAAATTGATTCATTACTGGGAAAACCATAAAAACAGCCCTCTTCTATTTCCCATACAAACGTTTTTTTTGACATTAGATTTGACAACTAACTAATATGTCAGTGATTCTGTCGCACTTCAAAACACGGAGATTTATGGCTATAAGCCATAAATCTCCGTGTTTTGAAACTCCAAAAATATAAATAAAAAAACGTAATAGATATTTCTTGATTATAGGGCGATACGAAGTTCGCCAGGTCTTCTAGTATTGAATATAAAATTATAGTCTAACAAATTCAAAGTAACGCAATGTATAAGGTATATATTTATAATAAGATACAAATTAGTGCTAACAAAATGTATAAGAGAATAAATATCCAGCAAATTTGTTCTTTATATCATAGTAATAAGTGTTAATTTTCAGTGGAATGGCTGGGAAGTTTAGGGCTTCAGTGCCCATCGTACCACAACCCAGCATCCTTCATCATTGAAGTTTCGTGCGGCGAGTATGGAGACAACACCGGCAAGCTAGTCCGGGCTATCGAGAACGGGAAAAATGATATCAGGTTAGAAAAAATACCTTTTATATAAGTTTGATGAGTTTTCATCATACGAATAACATGACACCAACTAATCTACATCGATTTCTGCCGAATCCAATCTTCACCCCCACTCCAAACTGTCTGTAATGCGACATGCAATAGATGGTTCAAAATATTGAGGCTATTTTATAAGAGTTTTAATTTAATACGCTTATTAATATAATTTTAAACCAACATCAAATGTTAGTATGAAATATAATAATTATAATTCGTTTAGTTTGACGTCAGAAGTCGTTTAGTTCGGAACTCTTACTAGGGATAGTCAATAGAAAAATAATGTAAACAATCACTAGTCCACGCGCACGGATTTACTTCAGATCCGGTTGTCGTAATCATAAATTGATATAATAATTGACATCTATTGTCTTAAGAACTATTATTCAAAGTTAGACGGAATTTTTAACAAAAAAATATTAATTCTTAAATGTATTTCTTATCTCGTCTAAGCCTGGAATTAAATTACTGAAACGTTTAAGATTTTTTTGTTGATAAAATTTAATGTTAAGGTTCTCCATTGTCTGTATTCGTGTACATTTGTAACTTGTACATTAATTAACCTTAGTTACCCCGATGACATCACACACACGCACACACACACACACAGACATATAGACTTATACATACACATACAAATGGAAATACACAACACACTTACACAATTTCCATATGTTTATACAAAGATGTGAGAAAAATTCACAACTTATGTACATTGTATTCAATTTTAATATTATTTTTTTATCAAATATATATTTATATTCATATTCGGCTAAGATTCTTTCATATCTACATATATTTGATGGATAGTTTTAAAAAATGTATTTAATTTTTATAAAATTAATCTACAAAGTACATTATATTGTTTTTGACTCTCAAAATCTGTTTTATATTCATATATCTCATGTGACTACAACTTGCGTTTCCGTTTCCCCTAGAACCGGGATGCCTCTCCCGAAGCCTCTCGACTACAACAACAAACAGGATATGGAGGCTTCGCTGAAGAACGGCTGGGACAAGAATGATGCAACACAGTTTAAAGACAAGGAGGTCAACGGGAACGGAAATGCTAACATACAGAACGGCATCATGCAGTACAGCGACGTGGCTAGGGAGAAAGGTCAGACACACTTAATATGACCCTTGACCTTTATAACACTTGACCTTAATCGTTACTAATGTGGAACTTTGTGAATATTGCATCGTTCGTCACTTTACTATTCTATACTATGAAATGTTTATCTATCTACATATGTAATCATCTAGATATCTATTCATTTTAACATCTATATATCTATAAATACGTCGTACCTACATTCTTTCAAACATATATATCTATCTTATACTTACTTCTAATACATATACAATATATGTTACTTTTATAAATGCCTCTGATTCCATGTTAGAACTACTGATAGCCATAAAAAAACATTAACATACAAGTATGTAATATTCATATATTTTTTATTAATCTTTGATACATTTAAATTTAAACATCAAGATCATTTTTCTTAATTAACTTTAATTACCCAGATGCATTTTGAACTTTGTATGTTAAGTGATAAAAAATAGTTCAAAGGTCAGCGATAAGTTTCCTGTTTGTCTCACTCTGTTGTATTGACAACAGACGGACGCGAACTATTAGCAATGATAATATGTATATATACATATATATTATATATTAACCTATACGTATATATAAAGCAATAGCTTTCCAACAACAATTGTATGAACAATAATAGTTCAACCTTTATTATATTCATATATTTTTATTTAATTATTTATTCATTAATTTAATGATTTGTAATTTAAGTTATTTTTATCTTCACACATACACAGAATCACAAGAAATGGATTATCTAAAATAATGAAATATTTCTTTGTAAATTTCTTATAATAACAACTTCTTAAATATAAAAAAATAGCCTACAATTAATAGAATTTTATTAGAACCTATATAACTTTTACATTAATTTGATAAATCCTTGTTGTCCATCAGATTTATGACTTACAAACTTCTCTGTAATAAAAAATAACATGTTCTATTTAACAATTCATAGCATATTTTGTTAATACAAAGTCCCAAATCAATCAATTGTATATTATCATCTCACAAACTATAGTATCTAATATATTTCTCAACTTATTTATTATCTTTTCATATATCTATGGCCTATAGAAATAATATAATCTTCATCAGGTGATCTTCTGGTTCAAGTTGATACTGAGAAACAGGACAATGTTGAAGTTGCTTTACTGGGAACAGAAGCTTCGCCACGAAGGTATGCTACGTCTGAATTGGTGCAGTTTTGGGTGGTTTTGAAGAGGACTTTACTATTCAGTAGGAGGGATTGGGTGAGTGGAAATAGAATATGAAAATACCTAGGTTTGTTATAGTCAGTTTCTATGGCAATAACTAATTTAGAAGTTTTTTGTCATGTATAAGGCCTATATCCCTATTAATATTATAAATGCGAAAGTAACTCTGTCTGTCTGTCTGTTACGCTTTCACGCCTAAACCACTGAACTGATTTTAATGAAATTTGGTACAGAGATATATTTGACCTTGAGAAAGAACATAGGATAGTTTTTATCCCAGACTTTTTGAAAGGTTCTCTTGGAAACGCGATATAACCGAACTCCACGCGGGGGAAACTGCGGGCGGAAAGCTAGTAGGCTATAAAGAACGATAATAGATAATTTATATGACAATCATTAATTTAGAAGGTTTTTATCCAGGAATAAGGCTTATGTAGGCTCTAATGAACTTAATTCTGTAAGCTTTCCTCATAGAAGTTAGTGTATTATTCTAATAAGCAAGAAATCTTTTCTTTTGGACATATCTGTATAACCACATTAAATCACTTCTCTATCATGATGGAGATGGAATAGTTAAACATGATCTATGCCTTTGATATTATAACTTTAACTCGGCAGGAGGCGCTACCGGGTAAAATTTACCACATAGTGCATACTTTGAAAATATTTATTTTTGTAAGTAATTTTGTGCAGCGCCGTTTTAGATACCTTTCGACAGATGTTCGACGGTTCGATTAATAAAGAAAATCGTGAGATTACTTGAAGGTGTTGGCTGTATCTCATGTATTGCCACAAATTAAGTGTAAATCTACAATCTTAAACCTGCCTACATACATTTATGAAAAGTAAAATAATACTTTTACTTGGTGTTAATGGCGAGCAAAATAATAATATTCCGAATAAACAACAGGAAAGAGCCCTCCAGTCACACTAGCAAATATTTCGTTTTGTGCACAAAATGGATGAGCTTTTGGGCTATGTTTTAAAATGTCAAATATTACATAATATTATACCAAGCGTTATTAGTTTCCAACTGTCTTGTTTAATTGAAAATGTAACACAATATAATATAAAATTTGGTTATATTTAATTATCCATAAAATAACTAGTTCTTACATTAATATTATTGTGGTATTTTTTACCGAGTAGCGACAGTCAGTGTTGGTATATGGGGCGCGCCTCCCGCCGAGTTAAGTGAAAAATATCTGCCACAATTGATTTTATTAACAAAACATTTTGCAGACTTAATTTGATTTAAAATGTATATCTGAACTTGGATGTATATTTTTATTGTGTGAAGCAATGTTTTTTATAGACGTTACCTCAATGATACAACTCGTTTTGTTAAAATGTATATGTAATGTATTTTTTTTATATAATTCTAAATATTTTTTACATCTCAAGGTGTTGAATAAATTTTTATTTGATGACGTCAATTCAAATTAAAATTATAGAAGTTATTTTGGTAGAAATATAAATTAATATTAAATTTAAAACATACATATTATATGTTTATAAATAGGTAATAGTATGAGTTTTATCCAAGAAAATTATAGTATATTTAACGTGAACTATAATTAAAGTTGTCTAGTATGTATTTAATAATACATAATCATTATTAATTATGGGTTATTGAAAGTTCAAATCAGTCACTATAAGATGAACCATAAACATGCATTGTCTATAATATATGTATTGCAAAAATGAGAACAAATGTATTACACATATTAGTTATTTAATATAGTTATATTTAATATAATTATTATTTAATTTGTACTTATGATATTTGTTCATATTATTTCAGTATCATTTAAATATTGTATAGTGTTTATTGTTTTTTGCTACTATCTCCTATAAAGAACGCAGTATGATTTTGACCGGACAATGAATGTCATTATTGCACAGATTACAACATATCTCTTGATGATGCTTACTTACACATTTTTTTCAATAGTAAGCACTAGTATATATATTATTTTGTTACTAAGATCTTAATAATATATCCACTTCTTTCTTTTTCCAGACCCTGATGTACCTGCGTCTGTTTGCTCACATATTGGTTGGGTTCCTTATAGGAGCTTTGTATTACGACATCGGTGATGACGGCTCCAAAGTACTTTCGAACCTCGGCTTTCTGTTCTTCAATATGCTCTTCCTCATGTACACATCGATGACCATCACTATACTTAGCTGTAAGTATATACATATATAGTATGGTTAGAAATATTCTACATTTTTGTCTTTAAAGGCCAAAAAGTCAGTAAAAGATACCAAAAAAATGTTAGGCCCCATATAAACTATGGATTTCATTAGTATTGTTCTACATTTTTGTATTTAAGCCAAAAATTCGGTAAAAGGTACCAAAATGATTTTAGAATCAATAGACTGGATTTTATATCACAGTTTCTCTATTAGCCAATTTATTTTGAACTATACATTGTTCAAAGCTCTATGTTATTATAGCTATATTATAGCTATGTTTAATGTTTTTTTTCTTTTTATTCCAGTCCCGCTCGAGATGCCTGTGTTAGTGAAGGAACATTTCAATAGATGGTATTCTCTCCGTTCATACTATTTGGCTATAACTGTTTCTGATATACCATTCCAGGTATGTTTTTTGGTTTATAGGCTTATTTTTAGCTTACTTAGTGTAAGAGAAAATAATAGATACTATCACAGTAAAATAGATAATTATGATTGTATTTATTAATAACAAAAAAAAAAATTCTACAGTAAAATTTGGTTAATTTACTTTTTATTTCATCAACTGTCAGACACTTAATCTCATCACAATCGGTCAAGCCGTTTTAGATATTATCATATACATGCTGTTAAATAGAAATTACAACAAAAAATATTATTTTATTGCCATGTATACGTCCATGCAGTAAGTTAAGTATTAAATGAAACTAATATTTTTCATATATACTTCGCGGTTTATTTGTTTTGTAAAATACTAAATACTCTCGACGTTTCGCCTACTTTTCAGCAACCGTGGTCATTAAAATAAGATTTGAATATCGCGTAATATAATCCCAAAAATATAGGTTTCATTTAAATGAATAAAACTCGATAATCTTAGATCTTGGAAAGTAAAAGTAATACCTGTAATACAGTTATTCTTATACCCATCACGGGCTCCAGTCTCTCACTAATGTCTATTTATATAAGATGATGTGTATCAAGTATTTTGTGAAGAGAGAATAAATGACTTAAAATAGTATTATTACACCATACAGATATATACTAATGTTTTGTTTATATTCCCAGGCTATCTTCTGTATCATCTACGTGGTGATCGTTTATCTGCTGACATCACAGCCCCTCGAGTGGTTTAGGTTCAGTATGTTCCTGTCCTCATGTCTGCTAATAGCCTTCGTGGCTCAAAGTGTGGGGCTCGTAGTAGGGGCTGCTATGAACGTACAGGTAACTCACTCATTTATCATCAGCTAGTATTACTATCTTCTTCTTCTACCTGGCAATTTCCCAGCTTTATCCAGGGTCTGCCTTACATGTGGTGAATAGTTTTGGGTAATTGTTTTTACGACAGGCCGCCTGCCTGACATCAACCCTCTTTGGGAATCAGCATTAATCAGACATGTCTAAATATTCTTAGAAAGTACATATGTCTCGGAAAAAGTCACATCGGTACTTGCCAGGATCGAACCCGCGCCCTCATGCATGAGAGGCGGGCCTTTAACCACTAGGCCGCCACTGACTCAGCTAGTATTACTATCGACTTATGCTAATGGACATGTACGCGTATAATCTGCAGTAATTTTTTTGGTTTGAAAAGAGTGAGAGAGATGGCCTATGCTTTCGGTATAGCACTATCTCATTCTCTATTTTGAGAGAGATAAATATAGACCGAAACTTCGTTACCTCTCTTTCTTTCGGAGTGCCACAATTCTCATTTCTAAGGCATGTCCATTAGTATAAGTCGATGGGTATTACTATCATTACTCACAAATACTCGCTTGCTTAGTCCAAGTTTGCATTTTCACGCTACATGTGAATAGTCTCGTTTCTCATTCGTTAATTTACGTTAATATAAGATGCGAAGATTTTTGAATAAAAACTGCCAGTGAGCAATGAATGTTATATCAAACTGATGCTTATATATAGTCTATATTAAGAATGAAACAAAATGTTGTTTTATCTGTGGCTATTAAAAGGATAACGCTGTTTTGAGATAATATATCGAACTCAAATTGTATGAAACTGTTTGCCAATTATTTTGTAAGGTACACAGTCCAAGACAAAAGTCACAAGTCCAATAGTTAGTGGTGGCCTAGTGGTTAAAAGGCCCGCCTCTCATGCACGAGGGCGCGGGTTCGATCCTGGTCTTGACAAGTACCAATGTGATTTTTCCGAATCATATGTACTTTCTAAGATTATTTTGACATCACTGATTATTGCATTCCCAAAGAGGGTTGATGTCAGGCAGGTCGTAAAAACAATTTGCCAATACTATTCACAACATATAAAGCAGACTCTGGCTAAAAGCTGGAAAATTGCCAGGTAGAAGAAGATAGTCCAAGACACCTCGTCTTTCGTAGAGTTGTTTTTGTTGTTGTGTTTTGTAGAGTTATTTCATCATATATAATTATTCATCCAACATTTCTTTCCACAGAACGGCGTATTCCTAGCGCCAGTAATGTCAGTTCCGTTCCTCCTATTCTCCGGTTTCTTCGTGTCCTTCAACGCTATCCCGGTGTATCTGAGATGGATCACCTACGTGTCATACATCAGATACGGCTTCGAAGGAACTGCTCTAGCTACATACGCCTTCAACAGAACCAAGCTACAATGCCATCAGGTTAGTATCTCTGTCTGTCTGTTTGTTACGCTTCCACGCCTAAACCACTAAACTGATTTTAATGAAATTTGGTACAGAGATAGCGTTGACCTTGAGAAAGAACATAGGATAGTTTTTATCACAGACTTTTGGAAGGTTCTCTTGGAAACGCGATATAAACGAACTCCACGCGGGCGAAGCTGTAAGCGGAAAGCTAGTTAGGAATATTCAAAAATATACCATAATATCTATATAGTATATATAGAAGTTTAAATAAAACTAATATTTTCCTATGTACTAGGCGATTATTTATTATTTTAAATTACATACAAAAGTCTTAGATCTCATTATATAGTTGTTTATAATAATGATTATGACGTCGTACATTATTTCTTTGACGTAGTAATTATAAATTATCTTGTATTTAATGTACTAGTTGATGATTTTGTCCATATTTAATTTATTTCAAATTCTATTACCATATGAATCGACCTAATTCTTTAGCGAATGAGACGAAAAAAACTCTATTTTACCAAGTTTGACTTTTTCAACTAGTGTTTAATTTAATATAAGCTGAAACCAATTTCAACTGACATTTTATTCCCAAATTAGTTTTCTTCTGTCTTAAAGTCAACTAAATTTAATATATACGCTAAGATATTTTAATCTAAGTAACTTCTTCTGTTCTATTGTAAACTAATTCTATGACGTTATTTCCAGGTGTACTGTCACTTCAAGAATCCGGAGACGATTCTAGAAGAACTAGACATGATGAATGCCGACTTCACACTCGACATAGCAGCGTTATGTCTCATATTCCTAGTACTGCGTGTGTCAGCGTTCCTCTTCCTGCGTTGGAAACTCAGATCCACTAGATAAACCTGTAGCTTATATATATATGGTACTAATATCGTTTAAAAGTTGTGATATCGTGTTTCATCGAATAGAATAATGTTGCTATATGACAATTATTTATGCATAGTGCCTTGATGATGTGATAAATACAGAAAATATATTAAAATATTATATTATATGACATGTGTTACTTCGCGCTCAAATTATTGCCGCCATTTTGAATCGATTTGTAATTAATTCTACTGTTTGTTTTTTGGGGAATGTTGTATATTTGTCTGCTATAAGAAAAACAACAGATTATTATTGACAAACTTATTTTTTTATTTTTCTTTGTTACGATGTTGACAGTAAAGTTTTATATAGGCTCATTTATTTAAGACGTGATAACGTTTGCTCACTATGTTTGCCTCCCGGCTTGCCTTTATTGTCAAATGAGGTAAGGTGAATGAAACATTTAAATTATATGAACAAAACTATAATAAAGCATTTTAATTTTAAGTATAAATATTAAAACTAGGGATCACGGTTATGTTTAATTGTACTTAGTTTTGTAAAAAATATTTACGATACGGTCCAATATTACGGTTAGTTGTGGTTAGATTTTACCAAGTTTATATATTTTTTATTAAATGGTTTATATACAAGCGTCTTTTATTATTTTACCTTTTAAGAACCGTTATAAAAGATTTTTATTTATGCAAAATTAGCTATAATTTATAGAATACTTATTTGTGTTTATATATACTAAATTCTTTTAAAATCCTCATAAATAATGTAAGAAATAAAAGTAATATAATACTTTTTTACATTTTTAATATTTATTTATGCTTGAAATACTAGGAACACGTTCTTAGACTATAAACAGCTAATTATAATTGAACTCTGTGAACTCTCACGCATAACTATTTTAAAAATTGCACACACATGACACAAGTTGCGCAAACGACGAATAAAGGATTCATTGATTTCAATTTATTCGTTACTTAGACTTATTTTTATCGTGAAGTTTCTTAATTAAAATCTCGCCCATAAATACTAGAGTCGATAGGAAATATCCCAATCCCATTAAATTCCACGGCACTACTAGTTCTAGCTCCTGGCTATCCTTATTTTTAAACTTATAATGTCTTTGGAACTCCCAATACAGTTGTGCTATGTAATCGTTGATCATACCATTTTCTCTCAGCCTTAATGCGTGCATTTGAAGTCTTTCGAGATATTGAAAACCTTTGTAGAAGTAAATGCAGTTTAAAGAACTGAAAATTGGTTTGTTGAATTTGTATATCAAATTCTCTCTGTATTCGTTGTAGAAGTCTAGTTTATAAAATTGGTATTTGTATCGGTACACAACTGTAAAATATTTGTAGTCGGACTGACTGACAAATTTTATGCTGTCCCATAATTTCCTACATTGTTCAGGTGACTGAATTAAAACTGTATCATTTAACGTTGCTTTTATGTAGTCTATTATGGTGTCGCTGACACAAGGCCGCAGGTTATCTCTTTTCAAGTCCTCCACGGTAGCTATTTGGTGTTCCTTTAAAGGGTGGATCGTGACACTCGAGAAGGTCGATTGATAGTAGCTACAGAAGAAATAAGAACACCAAACCCACGCTATGAATATGGATTTCTTGAAAAAGCTTCCCCGAATACCTGTGCCGCTACTAAACATGAACGATAGCATCTTCAGAGCTACCCAAGATTTGTCTTTAGGTCGAAAAAATAAAACGAACATCAGGAAATACAATAGAAATAAGAGGAGCAAAGTTAACCAGACGTCTACTTGGAATACCAAATAAATGTTTCTCCAAGGCTGCACACGTCTCGCTTTCTCAACCAGGTAGACGAGGGAATCTTGCTCCAACAGGTGTAAATATACGAATTGAAACATGTCCGTCCTTGCCTCCGTTAAAATAAGTCCGCCAAATATCACGTCATTTCCATTTCGTAGAGAATTCATGGGTCCGTCTATTGACATATTTTCGGATATTGTCGTGAATTTTTCTCCATCACCGATAAAAGTAAGGTTAATATTGAAACTTTCTAATCGACTTATTTCTCTGAATATGTACTCTTCTATCCCGACCCACATATTAGTATTATTATTTTCCCTTTTTATTGTGAAAGGGGGCCAATGTGTTGCCGCTACATTGAAAGTGCAGTTCCTTAAGCCAGTTATAAGTTTTTTAGGGTAGAGGTCTTTGGTAGATGATTTAGAACATTTCCCCAAATCAATAATTCTATCGTATCTTCGACCGCATCCAAAGTTCTCGAAAGGATTGTATGTGTAGATTTCAGGATCGACAGTGTTGTTTAGGATGAGTACATGAATGACGTGATACCTTAGTAGAATATCAAATACATTATAGAGGTCGGAAACATCGAGGTTTTTTATAAGAATTAAGAATCGCGTGGTAGGATTCCAGCGTCTTTCATAAACAAGATGTCTGAACTGTTTTATAAAATACGTAGAACTGTTTGCATCTATTACGTAGTGTTCATTCAGTACAGGCATATTAGTCTGTGGACTCCGCGATATTATTGTTTTCAATTCCATTGTGTTCAACGCTTCGACAAGCTCGTTATCATTTCCCATGTGAACGAAACTCATGCAGTTGCTATGTCGGAAATACTTCTTGACTATGTTGCCAATGCAATTTCCTTTTGAATCCTTCGTACGAATATCTTCTATTTCCCCTTTCACCAGAGATATACATAATAAAAAGATACAACTTTGTAACAGCATCTTACCAATGAAAAGTCGTACTTTTGTCAAAAATGTTCACAATTTTTTTCGTTTTCTGTAAGATAGTACATTTTTTAAATCCTTTGTAATTATTTACAACAATTTTCTTTTCTACATTATACAATTGTTTGGACGTCTGTAAGGAATGAATTTAAATAATTTTAGGTCACTTCGACAATATTTGAATACTAACTTGATACGTACATACATATATTATAATAATATACGTGTTAGCTAGTAATATCCTTCGAATATAATTCCACTGACTATTGTACTGTGTGGCGATGAATTATATTTCCTTATTAACTTCTACAGCGACAGCAACTTTGTCATGTCGGAGTCATAAAATGTAAGTAATAAATCAATGTCTCATCCATAAAAATTCGATAAGCATCAGAAATCAGAATAAAAACATAATATAAAAATCATCATGAAAACCGAAGGGATAATACTTTTAACCGACTTCAAAAAGGAGGAAACAGTCGCGTCGACTTTACTTTCATCATTTATATTCAATTGAATATAATAAAACATGTACCTACTAAGGATGTATGAAATACTTTTGTTCGCAATAATGATTTATTTCATTAAGTAATACATTTATAATATCGTTAAAGATATGATTATTACTTCGCATAACCTAGATATCTAGGCAGTCGAATCGCCGCTTTAATATAATTGGAAAAATACACAAGAGTCCTTGATATGATAAAATTTGGGCCTATCTTAGGTAAAAATTTGTATTTATTATGCGCTTGTAAACTTTTTTTGGGCAAGATTTTGTGATTTTAATATAAAATTAACAAATGAAATCTCTCTAATTACTTTTCTACCGATTGATAGGGCAAATGGGAATGGCTTTTTATAAATCAGACGTAGTAAACATTTTATGTTATGCGTAACAAGATTATTTTGTCGCAGTGTCACAGAAACTCGTGTGTCATTATAGCGTGATGAAACAGTGTTCGTTATGAAATGCATAATGGTTTTGGAGTATCAATTATTATTTAAGGACAAGAAGATTTAAAATTAATTATAATTTTATGCCTACTCGCAACACATGCAATATTTTAAGTCGTTACCGGTTGGCTGTTCGTTTTATTAAAAAGTATAGTAAAATATGTTCTCATGACATATAACTTTGTCTACATATTTTTTTTAATGCATATTTTCAAGTGAAGCTATATAAAATATCAATGTTGTCAATACCAGCAGTTAAATGCTCAAGAATTAATAAAAAATGACATATAATTTTAAAGTAATACATTATACAAAGATAAAAAAAGAATTTGATTTGAGTCATTGTAAATAATGTTGATATAAATTTCAACCTAGTTATTTCTGTTGTTTTAAATAGATTCATAAACCGATAGTGCACCGGCTGTTAAATAATACGGACCTTTAACCTTAGAAAATAACAGTGACGTTTCAGAATGAACACATTTCTAACACCATACGAAATCACAAACATAATTTCTTTAATAAACATGAATGTTAATTTCTTGACTATTTTTGCTAATTATTATAATTTGCTTAATGACACAATTAATATTGAAATTAATTGTGATGGTTTGTTATTTCATAAGAAATATTTTATCGATTACAGGTTTCTTAACTTTTTATGTCCTTAAATTGCTTTCCGTGTAAATCAATACTTTTTAGTTATGTTTTTTAATTATAATACTTCCGTAAATAATACAGGTTGATGTTTGGTATTTACAAAAATTTCATTTATACGTTGAAAAATCCAAAGAGGTAATCTCTCTCTCTTTTAGTGATTGGCGTTTTCTTATAGATTTCGTCATTGTCATGTGTGATTATCATGGGAGGAAGAGGTATCCAAAGTATACGCTTAACCTTTTCTTTTATTGCGTGGGGAAACACTATGCATACTCTCATGTTTGAGGAGGTAGAAAACAAGGGGAGTTATATCGGCCTCTCGTCCTAAAAAGAATGCATTACCGACTTAAACAACGGGTTTCTCACGAACAGTTTTTTTAAGCTACAGGACCCGCAAGAAGACTTTTAACCAAGGGTAAAAAAGTTATACATATGTCATTGTCATGTTCAAAAGTGTTTTGACTTGTTTCTGATACTTTAACAATAAAAAAATAAGTGAAAAACATTAATGAAATACGCCAAAGATTAATTTGTTTCTGAAGGAAGCAGTTATTTGATTATTTTTTTTTAGTATATTAGAATACATATTACTTTGCATTTGCATATATTGCATGTCGCATTACGGCTGTACACGAATATGGGTAAAATCAAATGCACGCGACTGGACAGCCAAAGCGAATATGAAGACGCATCTTTCATAACAACTGGCTGTGTCCATTATGTTCTTACTCCTGACTTACTTACTAAACACTTCGTGGCCAGAATATTTGTGAGATTTGTACCATGAACCAGAAAGTTATGTTTAACATTAAAAACAGCTTTACACGCACGTAATTTTCTCAATTCTTAGAGGACTCTCATATATAATGTACCTATTTGAAATAAATTTACTTAATTGATTGATTTAATATGTCTTATTACGACGTTGCATCTCATAGTATACATATACAAGGAGTTGCACCATCACAATATCTTCTATCTTCGTTTGAAAACAAACTTCTCAATGGAGGTTGGGTGATCGACCTCAGAGTTATGGCAGCGAACCGGCTCATTGGACGTTAGTTCCGTTTTCCGGTCCTTAAATTTAAATGTATGATACCTACTATCAATTTTCTTTTTGATAAATATGACTAGAGCTATAAAAAAAACAACCAAAATTCAATAGTCATTATTTCTTAATAAAATGTTGAAATTAGTACATTTAAGGTTGAATATTTGACTTTTAACGTCTTCCTATGATAAATGATTGATTGACAGACAGACGAGGCTTGTTTTTTTATATTTAAGTAGATATTATTTAAATATATTATTGAACAAATGTTACTGTGTTTTGTCAAATGATATAGGTACGTTAAATAGTATGATGACACAAAAAATACACACGTTCTGAACAATAACATGAATATACTTCATACATAGATAAATATACATTTCAAATAATAATAATCCTTGAAGAAGGATTCAAGCAAGGTAACTCATCTCATATATATTATATTATATCTAAAAGTTACTACCGACATTCCTCGTTTTATTTCATCATTAAAATAGAAAAAAAAAAACACATTATAAATCATAGCTTTAGATTACCAAATAATTTTTAAATTTACGAATTGTAATGAAACTTGTCTTTGTAACAATAAATATATAAAATTATAAAGTATTTTCTCTATAATAACCCCTTATTATATGTTTAACTAGAGTATAGTCAAGAATTTAAAAACTCCCTACCAATTTATATTTTCAGTAACCTCTCTCTCTTGACGTGATAATTTTTTAAAATTTTCATCCCATGTACTTAACATAAAAAAAAATTGAGAATTTACTAATCTGCCATACAAAGTAATATGTTAATGAGATCTGATACTTTCGCGAGTATTCATTTAAATAAAACTAATATCTTCTGCACGTGATCATGGTTACTGCATTTTTTTTTGCTGCAAAAGAAATTGAACCTGGTATATGAGGAATTCCGATCTCCATAGGGACCTCCAACTTCCTACGATAGCTGCGCATTTCAAGACGATCTCAAAGAGATTTTTCGAGACCGCGACGGTACAACCAAATAATTAATAGACCAAGCGTGTGACTATTCCCTATCTCCCAACTTCCCGGTAGGCAAGAGGAAAAGACGTCCTCTTAGACCCTAACGAAAAAATATCAACCGACAATATAGACATGACCCCCATTACCCTAAGCCAATTCAATACACACCGCCTTCGCCGGCGAAGACGAGGTTACGTTTCATACACATCGCTCCGGGGGACGTAATACAATCCCATTATCCGATGCCATTCTCGACTTCAACGACGTCCTAAACTGAGGTCCAGTTTCTTAGAGGCATCCTTGGGATGGGCATACCTTTCAGGCCTTTCAGACCCAAATTTAACGGGAAGTTCCCATCGGGCTACCCACCCCTCCCGATGACGCTGTCAAAGCCATTAGGGCTAACAGCTACTGTCAAGTCAAAACTAAAACCGATCGCATCTAAGTGATTGTAACGTCGTTATAATGGAGTTTTTAAAAATAATAAAATACGCGTACATAGTAATCCATTATAAAAATATTAGTTTCATTGCAAAGTTATATATTTCTTGGGAAATATTCTCATAATGAAGGTGTAGTATCAATAAATTTAGATTCACAATCAAACATAAATTTAGCATTTTAAATTTACACATCACAAAAATATTAATTCCTTATAATGCGATCATAGACCTTTGCGAGTATACAAGAATGAGTATACTCTATTTTTATATAAACTAAATTTTAAATCCTTGTCAGGCGCAAAATATCCTTGTAATCCTATTTAATGTTTTAATTTAATAAACTTTTAATTATAACGATATATTAATAATGCCACAGTTCATTTCTTGTTGAAATGTGTAGTTTATATATTAGAATTTCGGTCTCAGCCTTGCGGTCACTGCTAACCGGTTGTCGGATCGTCATAGTGACGTATTTTAATTTATAGCATTTTTTTTACCATTAACTGTAATATAAAATGTATATTTCAAGATCATTATACACTAAAAAAATCCGTTTCTATCTGTTGGCATTTGAAGCGTCATTAATATATACATAACATAAAGTTTTTCGCACCTTACTGTTTGGTTAGTTAAGTAAATTTTATTTTAACGTAATGTATAGTGTTTGTATGAAAATAGCGGGAAGTTATTTCAATAATAACACGAAAATAACAACAAACAGCGAAACAGGAACAAATATTCAAATTGTAGAATAAACTTAACAATCATATACTTTTTGTACGAATGACATTAGTATTGTATTTGTATAATTATTATTGACACTATCATGTGCTAAAAATGAAAAAGAACAATGCTTATTATTAGTTCTCGTCACTACATACGTAGCGTTAACAG